TGGCAATTCATGAAACATCGAATAGTTGAAAATATGAAGACCATTTGATTCCGATTTATTGAGATTGTGACCCACCATTTCTGGCTTATCATAAAATTTGAAAGTCTCGAATTCAGTCCTATATAGGGGTGTGGAGATATATACTACTTTAAGGTCTTAAATTCACACGAAGCAGCTGTCCGGTGCTTTTCAGTCTTCAGATTAAGTTCGTCTGTAACACACAACAACATACGTGTTAGTAATTGAGTTATTTGAAGTGTTGTTAGACTGATGACTAGATGATATATCATTAATTCCGACAAGTCAATGAAAGAAAGCCAACTGGTACTAATTTTTAAAAAAATATCTCTCCTCTTATAATTCTACATATTGAATTCTGCGCGTGATTTAAGCTCCCTCTGCCTCTGTGCACAATTACGTGATCGTCTTGTGACAACTTCAAATGTGTGTTTGTTTGAAATTATACACTTTGTATGTTAGTTTTTCTCCAATTATCAACAAAAAACATGAATTTTTTTGGTTCTAATCTTTTTAAACCTTATTAATCTTGATTATAAATCGTTCAGGAGCGTACAAAGTTTATGTTATGAAATGATTGATAAGCAATATGAAGTAGAAAAGAATTGTTTGCTAGTAGTATAGTACAGTTTCTTGTAAATTATCAATATTAAAGTGTTAAATTTCTTGAGTAAATCCAGTTACTTGTGTAAACAACGTTTTACACAAGATTATTTTTATTGGTTTTAAAGAATTATTTTTTTTTGTAAAAAATATTTGAATTGCACACTGGATTGTTAAAAGAGAGTAGTAGATTTCTGATACATTAACTTGAATCGTTATTGTTGGATTATTATACATTAAATATCTATTTTATCAAGTTTTGTTTTTAAGCATTTTAAATAATATTCAGTTTAGGGGTTGTGGAGATTGTTAAGTTTCTGATTGAGATCATGAACCGATTGATGTTAGACCACCACTGAAAACCTGAAAGCACTGGACGGCCGTTTCGTCCTATTGTGGGACTCGGCCGTCCAGTGCTTCCAGGTTTTCAGTGGTGGTCTAACATCAATCGGTTCATGATCTTAATTAAAAGAATTTTATTTCAAGAAAATGTTTCTTGTTTGTTGATATTGTGTTGCAAATCGTATGGATAGCAATCTCCTTTCTCTCTCTCTCTCTTTTTCTGTTCGGTTTTCAAATATAGGAGATTTTAGCATTAGTAGTAAGTCAGGATAAATTGTCGAAGTATCAGTCGTATTGAACTCAGTCAGATGGTGTGTACTAATGAGTTCAATTTGGAGTTCATTATCTTCTAAACTAATAATAACTAGACAACTACTAAATGAATTAGTAGTGCTTAAGATTTTAAACAACTTTAAATAATTAAGCAAGGTACATGGACTTTTGGAGGTTTATATGCTCATCAGGAGGTTAATGGGCATTTTTTTAAAATGGTGGACGTAGTAGATAATCTAAAATTCCCAAACCATAATTAGCCTTTATTAACACACTTACCCATTCTAACTGAGAAAAAGCCCATTCAAAAAGTTCTTTTTAAATTAAACTTTACAATTAAAATTACCATAAATCATTCCTTAACTTGTGTGTCTTTAACAAAAGTACAATGATTTAAATAAACCGACTTTGCTTGATTTCAATGATTTCCCGTTTGATCTTTGTTTGCAATAAAGTGATTTGAGGGGGGGGGGTACGAAACGGCCATAAAAAACTCATTAAAATATGTATTTAACAATAACAAGTACCATTTATCATGTATTCTCATGCTGTTGACCAGATCAAAATCGCTTCCTCATTTTTACTTCATGCACCATATCCTAATGTTGAAAATGTTTTATTACGGGGTTCACGATATGTTACATCCTTCATCTATTCACCCAATAATATATCGGAGAGGATTTGTCTCGATCTAGGTTAAGGCCAACTGGTTTAAGCTTGAGTCCAGAAATGAGTGAATCCTAATCGATACTAACGGCCTAGGGCAGAGAGACGAAAACTATCCTGTCACTTGATTGGTTTACAAGAGAGAGAGAGACGATGAGTCAACTGGAACACCACCAGATTTACTCCTGATTTCTCATTCAAATTAGTGGTAAAGGATACATGAATAAGTAGATGACTAACACGACCACAACGCACAAACGACTAGAAAAATAGAGTACATAAGGTCATATTTAAATCACAGTAGCTTTGGGATAGAAAAGGGTATGGCAGTGAATCATGCATCAAACGAAAGCTTATGGTTTATAGAACAACTTATGACAAAAATAAATGTTAGTATTTTACAAACTTTGGATTAAGAGAAATAGTGATCCCGAAAATAGCTTCCGTTATTTGTCATGGCTTCCTTATTTCCCTGTTCACATCAGGATGATTAACAGGAAGTCTTATATCTAGGTTTTGCGCTAGTCGACAAAAATTGGCAAGGTTTATCCCTAGGGTTCGGTCCCAGTATCATAATCAGAGATTTTAACACTGAACTAGTCAAAATTTGACTGTTCTGTTGGATTCATGTTTTTTCATAAATTGATTACTACTAGTTGGTAACCGTTACTTTGTCGGGTTCTTATTGTTGATTATCAAAGTACAGACTATTTTATGTGAAACTTTATTTAACTCATATGCCTATGAATTACATGTTTCTTTTTATGAAATAAATAAAGTTCGACTGTGTGATTATCATTTACTTTACAAATGAATCTATATTCACAAGCTCTATGCATCATAGTATTTCCTCTATCTCTCATGGACTTCCAATCGCAATAGTAGGAAACTGAACAAGTGGTCACAATTCTTGTTCTAACTTCCGATTCATACATGACTCATGCATATATAAATGTATAAATGAGTTACACAATCGTAGTAAACATCCAATATTTTCAGTCTAAAAACTGAGTACCATTTTTAATTAGCTGACTGGTATTTATTGTGAACACATAAACACTATGACAATAATTAATGAATGGAAAAGTTTTTAATTAGGATTATATAAATAAACAATAAAATAATCGTTCGATAAATCAGTATTATGAGCATGTTTACACAGAAACATTCTGAATAATATTTTAATAGATTCATGTTGGTGAAAAATACAGCGTTTGGATGTGTACATTCAGTAAATACTGCAACAGTTACTTATTGCAAGTTTAATTCCTATTCCATCTATTTTGGCTTAGGTAACCAATTGGTAAGTATCACTAGACCTCAGAAAAGTAGTGACTTTCATAGTTGACGACTGAGTAAACATGTACCAGGTAAATTAGTTATATTATTATATTATTTATCAAGCCCACAGATTGTAGTTTGATGCTAAAAACTATCTTATAAAATGTAGCTAGTTAACTTATTGCTTATGTTAGCACTAGGAGTTTGTCGAAATTGTAGAGCATTATGCTTTATATTACAGACTGTTCTTTGCTAGATAACCATTTAAAAATAGAAAGCTCTGGACATCTGTTTCGTCTTAATATAGGACTCAAACCGAACCCGCGACTAATGGAGTCCACCTATGTCGAGAAATTACTCACCAATGTCATTTTTTGATGGCTATACAATATTATTTTATTTAAGTTAGAGGTGTACACTATTGATTGCTAACTCAGCGGTCTGAAAGTTAAGAGCTCTTTATGTGGTCTGAATGCTGTAGATTTGATCTCCTCCGGCGTCATGGGTGCGCGCTGGCATGAAGTTTCATGCTAGGTCGAAACAGCTGTTCAATAATTTCATCAGATTTATTCTGGGTGTCTAATTAGTATCAATACATGATGAAAATCATAGAAAAGATATTCCTTATATTTTTGGTAAAAACTCAATGTCTTTGAAAACCTTAATACCATAGAAACCAGATTTGTAATAAAATATGTGGTTCCCCTTTCTACGTTGTGTTTTCTTTTTAAATACTATGAAGAGTATAATATAGACTCTAATGCTTCGCAATGAAACTGTGTTAAAAGGGTACATTTCTGAAAATTACATGAAGTAGTCTGTATTCAACCAGCTAGCACTGATGAACTCAATCTACGAGATGCTAGAATTTTCTTTTATAATTTTTACCTAAATGTTTGTAGTTCATTTCATGAACTGACCTCAGACAACCACTAATACCAGGAAGCACCAAAAACGGGTGATTCATCTCAGTATAGAACTCTTTGATATTGTGCATCTAAGATCCCACGATGAATTAAACTTATGATTTCGGGTCTTTTCGAGGATTATTTAACATTCTGATCATTGAGTTCGTAATTCATAAGTGAATGATGTAATTTAACAGTTTCCACAAACTTTACTAAGATTCCTTACTTTTTCTACTGTATCAGTGTCTTGTAATTCATCTTCTTTCCAATTCACTTTTGTCAGTTTAAATAAATTGCACTGGTTAAAGGATTACTCGACAGGAAATAATGTACCGGATTGATATGTACTTCACATGGAACATTAGAATCTTTCCTCTTTCATTCCAACTATATGGTTGGATGTTTTAAACAACACTTAACTAATCTATTTTTGTATCACTGATAAACATAATGGTGAAATTACATGAAGTCAATGATTGACGAATAAAAAATAACACTATGTATTTCTGCTTACTCTAGTTAAATACCTCAATGAACATAGAATTACATTCCAGAAATAACCCATTACGTCTTTCAAATAATCTGTCTGAATCGTAATGATACAATTGTGTATTTCTCAAGATCGATCTCTTATTCTTTTCCCTGCAATGTCAATTTGATGCCAGATTGAATCAATCCTACATAATTTTACAGTGTGATAACCACACACTGGATATATAAACTTAGTCTTCGTACTACAAATCCATGTTTTGCATCCTAATGTACAAGGATGATTACATATTTAACGAAACGACATTCATATCTTGTTGACATAAAATTCTGATCCTTTAAGGAATGTTTTGGAATGCGTATATTACTAACTATTTATTAGTAGTTGATTGCTTTTTATAAACATGTTTTGGATTTTAGTAAGAAAAGGTCAAATGTGGTTACCAGGTGCAATCACATCTGCATTTGTAGCTTTTCTAACATGGTCAGCTTTAGGCAGTCAACCAAGAAGTGAGTTAAACTAAATCCAAGAATTTCATATTTTCATGTTTTGTTTTTGTGTGGGCCAGTTTTCATTATGAATTGAGATCTTTTAAATAAATACCTCTTGAATTTCAGTAATTGTCAGCCGTTATTTAGTTGTATTATCAGAACCAGATAGTTAAGTAGATTTTTGGTTGATCCCAAACGTTTTACGTTCTACCGATCAGCATATTCACAAAATTCTCCACGAGATCTGATGGTCCTGGATTCAATTTTCAGTTAAACCGTTGGTAGACACTGCTGGAGAGTAGCATACTAAAACAAAACAACTGTCCATTTCTTCCCAACTCTCAGTGATTTTTTGTCAAACTTCAATTCGTTATACAAAACTTTAATCTCAATACTTTGCAGAACATACTATAATAGCCATCCTATTGTTTGAATTTTCAAATTACATCATATTTTGCTGCTATTGTTTTGTTAATATTAAATTGTTGACCTTATAAATTCACATGTTTCACCATGTATTTCTCGAGGAGGCAGTCACTGAGTTTAACTGGTTCTGTGGGAATGTTGTCTTACGTTTCATATGGTTGTTACTGAAAAAAAAATTATGTAAAATTAATGAATGTTTATAACTTCTGTTAATAGTCATTATCCACATAGGTCGGGGTTGCATTTCGTTTTAGATCCTTTGATTATCAACCATTCAATGTTTTAGGATAGATAACTTTTTAATACACATAAGGAAGCGCTTTTTTCATTTGATCAACACACCTTTATTTCGACATTATTTAGATACTTGGTATATTGTTAGTATCTCTGTAAACTGGTTCACGGATTTAATCTTATGCAACCAGTGTTTTAAATATTTCAGTTATTAATGGCCACCAAGCTTTACATTTATACAATTAAAACACAATTGTGTGAACGAAGTATATTCTTTTCAATAGTTTCTCATCAGGTTCTACAATTATAAATCCAGAATAATAATCCATTAAATTGGCCAGATTAAATTAAATAGATAGATAGATATATAGATATACGGATATATGTCGTATCATCTGATTTCAGAAGTAGGCAGTTTGTTCTTGTGAATATAGTGAAAGAATAAACTCAGAATAATGATATTGTGGTTCTTTCAGTCATTTAAATATTGTCTATCGTTCCTCATATGTGGAGGTATAAGTGTTCATGTTTTTCTGAATACTTTACGTGTTCATAGTACAAATATATCTTGAACATGTCTAGTTCTTACGCCATAAATCCACTTTACTAAACCAAATACACACTGGGTAGCTAATTTTCTAGATTTTATTTTAGTAGATGAGAAATGATATTTGGATTCTATTAAACCAGCAAAGCATTAAAAAAGATATTTTAACTACTCGAAGAAGAAACTAATGTTGTTAACTGAGGTTAACTTTTAATGATTGCATAATAACACTCAGTGTTTACTGTTAGATTGTGTTAAGAGCTTATACACAGTAATATAAACCAATTAACACATTAATCATCTCAAATCTCCTTCTTATGTCTGTCGTATATTACTAACAAAACATCGCCACTGATTAATATTTCTTCTATGAAGTTTCAATGTTCTAATTAAGTCAGCCAACAAGCTTCATTAGCTAGGACTAAATATTTTGTCCCGTTAATATTTTATGCATTTCTGTAACTCCCCTACAGGATCCAATTGTCAATTCACTTTTCCTAGCGTATGTGGTTGACCTATAAGAATTATTCTCCATTTATCTACAGTCTTCACTGCATACATTTCCTGACGTTACTGGTGGTAGGTATTGCATCAAGCTTAAAAGTAGAACCCTCTATTCTTAGTTGAATTCCGATAGATAGTCTCTTGTGTGGTTTTTCAATAAACGCGACACTAAGAGCTTGGAAGGATAGAGATATACGACATTGATGTTTATTAAAGGTTATCATCATTTTTTTCACATTCAGCACTTGATTTTCAGTCAATCCTTGTCGAGATATGTACATCCTGTACGGATTACATAGGCATACTCATCTTATCACAAGTTGTTTTAGTAAAAATTTGTTGTGTTTAGCAGTGGGATCCATGATGAGCGCTTCGTTCTATTCGGAACTTGTCAGCCTCATATACCTGAATCTATGTTATTATTCTCAATTGGACTCGAACACAATACTTTTAGCTCTAAATGTGGTGTATGCTACGTATGTCGACAGACAAAAGTATGTAACACCAATCAGAAGTGGAAAATCTGGCAGCAGAATGCCTAGAAGATTGAGTTGGAAAGAATAGAAGGGAAAATAGAAAGGAATTATGTGGAGGACAAATGATGAAAATTTGTAAATGAAGTATTCAGTGTATGGTTCTTACTTTTTACCAAGATACTCTGTAATTTTGTATTGAAATTCACGACACTGATACTGACGCATTAACCTCTAAGTTACTGAGGCCAGATATTCACCAGCGTGTTCAACTGTTATGATCTTAATATCATTATCAGTAAGGATTGGGATAATCTCGTTGCTGACGTACAAGACTGAATTTTTGCGGTTATCTGGACACAATAGCTCAATGAATAATCTGTTGTGACTTAAAGCACAAGGTACCGGATCGCAGCCTAAGTGTGAACATCAATGTGCAGATCTAGGTACATTCACTATAGAATGTCAAACAAAACCTAATGTGTTTCCTGGATTCCACTACTAACCACAATACATCTTACCTGAGAAATCGTTGACGTTTGTTGTTTATTAATTCAAATTATATATCCTCTGTTAGATCTTTTAATTACGTGGTACAATTTTCCTTTTATATATATTTATTACAGTTTTATCGTCGAATTTTCCGTGGCAAAAACAAACAGTGAAAAAGATGAACGATGTACAACAGCAAGAGCGAAATTTTACTATTCATCCGCTAGTTGTTGTTGCAGATCAGTTGAATCGTTTATTATCTGATCAATTCACTCAAACCACTAATCAAGTCAAAACATCACCAACATTGACTTCTGAATCGAAACCAAATATTACTGACTCAATTGTTTTAATTAATGAATGCCTACCTGGTGGTGTGAATAAAATCAGTGAACACTTAGGCAAAGATATTGTTACATTGTTAGGAATAACAGTTGTGATCAGTGGATTTGTATATTCAAGGTAAGTAACATTAATAATTGTTAGATTGGGAGGTTTGTAGAATTGAATTTTGTGGCTTATATCATGCACTGACCTTAGTTAGATTAGTGATAGTGACGGGAACGACAAATGTAAACTATTAGGTGCTAACTCAGTGGTTTAAAGTTTGAGCTCTCACCTCAAGATCTAGGTCCTAAATTTGATCCCGGTGGATTAGTGGACGTGTACTACTGAAGAGTTGCGTGACAGAATGAAATATTTGTTCAATACTTCCTGATTTACTATAGTTTTCTAACTAATATCGGTTCGTGAAATGCTAAACTTCAAAATATTTATAATTGTTTAATATAATATGTATATTCTAATTACAAAATTTACAGACATAATTAAGTCGGTTCAAATATGTAGATATCGGTAATAATTTGTCAATTTTTTTGAAACATCTCGTTACACTAATTGTATGTAAATATGATTATCCAGTTATTTTACTCTTAACATCCTTTTTTTGTAAACATTATTGACGATGGACAGTATAAAAACATAATGATTGTTAATAAGAGAAAATGCACACCAATGTATTCGCCATTACAAAAATCGATTTAAGGAATATTCGCTATCCATCAGGAAATATGCTAACGCATTGACAAAAATGAGTGAGACAAACCTTAAAAAAATGGTTACATTACTTGAAATTACAGCTATTTTGTTTGGGTTTGTGACGAATTTAAATCTTAATTTTTGTGTTCAATTCCCCTTGTAAATTATAAATTTGACTTTAAATAGTTGAGGATAATCAATAAGGATACGTAAACAGCACTTACAAAAGTTTGTGTATTACATTTATCAGTTACTACATTCTTTCTGCGGGACACTATTGGATATTATGTCAAGTTCGTGTAGTCGTTAGAATCCTGTATATCGAGTCGCAATGTGTCGACTACCCCAAGTGACTTGATATATTGTCCACTACGTTGAGTCACATGAACAAATGGGTCACATTACAAGCCGTTATGTGGAATTAAATCAGCACTAAACGATTAAATAAACATGACATCGTTCACTTTTCAGGGATCAACGAATTATAAGTACTTCAGCCCTAAAGCAGGTCAGTCGCAACCGACTAACTCAGTTGTTATGTCTCAAGCTGTGAATCTAAGTGACAGGTTCGAATACCCCAGCGATCATCGGCTCTCTCATGATTACAGACGCGTCCTGTTAACAAGTGGCGATCGACACAAAACCTAGGTCCATGGTTCCCTGCTAACAATGTACCCAATGCTTACAATCGCCTCAAAGAGGCCATTCTTAGACATTTCCTCCCATCGAGGGAGGAACTGTTAGGGATGCAGAGGAATATACCAATAATTATCGTGTTAAGTCTAATGATGTCCTTGGACGTTAAATGGACATTTCCATTGGTCGATATTCATTTCACCTGTCAAATATCGTACAAATGTTGTTTTCTATTTTATGGTACGATGTGGTCTGGTTGGTTGGTATATAAATAGAGTATGTCTGAAATATAATGATTCATATCTCAGAGGCTAAGACTCGCGTTCTGGACTCAACTGGCTGGGCTAGACAGGGAAGCGGGACCAATCAGAACCCTAGGCCGTTCATTACGTGTTTTACGTGTCACTGATTCGATCGATAAATACGATGCTCCAACTAAACTGCAATCCACCCGTTACAACAGAAATACTGAGGACATTGTCAGCACATCACCCTTTGGGTGATGCTAAACCAAGCCATCACCTCACGCGTCTGCAATCCCTTGCAGGACCTACAGCAGCCGACTCGGAAATAATTAAAGAACTATGGCTCGAGTTGTTACCGGCTTATATTCAGCCAACCGTGACGGCTCTGCTCGAGGGTGCGCCACTTCATCAGGTCGCCCTCATGGCAGACAAGATTTTAGCGAGGACTAATAACAGAGACAGCTATGTAGTTTCCTCAGCGGTACGTCCTAATGTAGACAAGGACACCGGTCATTCTTCGGCTCACGGTGACAGAGACGGGTGTACCCACACACGTCTTAGTTTTCGAGACCGTTGTGGGTGGTGTCGAGTCAAGTTTGGCTATGAGCACCACTACAGGGAAACGCGTACCAAATAAATCAGTAGGCGAAGATTGAACGTAACCAGATTTATTTGGTATGCGTTTCCCTGTAGTGGTTCTCATAGTCAACCTCGACTCGACACCACGCTACAACTGGTTAGCCGAATTCTGGAACATGCCTCAATCTCTGGTCATATCTTCCAAAGAAGTCAATTCGGTGAGTCTATTGTTTATCTATCCACGTCTGTCGTGTATTTTCATGTTAATTTTTAATATATAATTTACTCGACATGACGGATAACGATAAGACTAGTATTAATATCATAGACTCTGACGTACAGGCCATCCGTTTTCTACCTGTATCATTTATCCCCCATGACCGAGATGTCTGGTTCGCTGCATTAGAGTCTCAATTCGAGACTCGCCACATTACGAGCCAAAAGCAAACGTATGCTTTCGCTCTCGAACCTCTACCCGGGGACCATTTAGTAGCTGCACGTGAAGTCGTCCTCAATTCTAATGTACCGTTCTCCGTAAAAGACCTTCGTTGGCAACTCGAGGGACAATGATAGCTTCTTCTTCCACTAATTCTCTCGTCCTACAATTGCACGTTTGCCGATCAGCCCCACGAATCAAACCGCTACTTACCGAAAGTGTAAACCCTTTCTAGCGGGGGGCTCCTGTAATGACCTACTTTTACCAAGAGAACGCGATTGATTTAATTGAAACAATTATTATTATAACCAGTTGTACCAGTGATTGTTTTACTGTGCTCGTTTGCTTAACTGTGCTAAAGACAGCCATATTCCTACTCCATTCCTCTCCATTACTTTTCCGCGGATCCAACCATATGACCAGTAATCTCAAACGCAACGGTTGATGCAATATGTCATTGGTTATTGTACTCGACTTTCGACTAATAGGTTACAAATTTAAATCCCGATCCACGTAGTTGAATTTTGCCAACCGAATAGAATTCAGATACACAGTGTAGTTCGATGTCTAGTGCATAAGCCTATAACTGATAAATAACTTACAAATCAATTTTATAAATGAATTCATAAGTACATTTTGATGCTAATTAGTAACATAACTCTCATTTTTTTTCCTCATTGTTAGGCATATATAATATTTCCAAGCATTTCGTTAATTTATTTTTCCTTGTTAGTAATGAATACTCTTATTATACAGCATAATGATATCGGATAAAAATTTTTCTTACATTGTTAGCATAACATCCAATAAGCTTTTCATATATTTTTTTACATATGCATATTGTTGTCTTGTTTTTTTTTTTTGTAAATGGACGATTCAACATCGAACTGTATCCATTCATTGGGTGTATTTATGCTATAATGTAAATTAATTATAGTTAGACATCTATTAATTTTTTTATAGTTACGAATTTATTGTAACTTGATTACATCATGTTTCACTATTTCATGTTATTATTTATCCAATTCAATAATCAAAGTCTGGGTTTAAATCATTGGCTTTTGGATCCTGCTTTACTTCAGGTGATGATTATAATGATCCTGTCCAATTTTCTGAGATAAAATGAATACAAGGGAATTAGAATTTATAGTTTAATGGTTAAAAATCAAATGCTTGAGTTACTAAAGTCTTACTGTGTTATCTTAAATTAGAAATTAAATTATATCTCATTTTATTTTTTGTGTAATTTGTTCTAATATTTATTTTTGACAAAGTTTGTTCAATTACTGATCAGTACGTATATGAACTGACCTAATAATAGTTCTTGAAAAATTCCTACAATATTATGGACTGTAAATGAAGATAACTCATTGGAGAAGACAGTTTCATTGTGGTACAAAGCGGGACGATTGTCAACTTGCAATCTTTGTGGAAACATCTACATTTGATATCTCTTGAGCTTTTGATCAGTAATTCACTATTTGGATGATTAATAATTAAATGGATTCAGAAAAATTGTCTTTGGTTGCTATCGTAACAAAATGTTTGTTTTGGTGAGATACAGAAAACTCCTCGAAAAAAGCCAAAAAAGGCTTTGAAAACGCTGAGAAGCATCTTATCTTATCTTAGATGTTTTGCGCGAAACATCTAGAAAGTGAGTCGTCACATGTCGAGTTTTTCATTGGGTGATTACCTATGTTGCTACAATGTTTAGTAGCGTTTCAGAACTTTCCGGAAACCCAAGGCCTTCGAAAATACTATGAGGCCCTGGATTTTCTGTGCATAAACGAACATTGGAGTAAAGCATTTCTTTCATATTTCACGCCTTTTCTCTCGTGTTCAAGTCGCTGTGTAGATTTAGTCTGGGGGTTACTAGAAGAGCTTGTGAACCAAATCTAGCGTTCAATTAAAACACTTATCAGGGGCGTCGGGGAAAGCCACAATGAACATTTCTTTGGAGCAACTAGATGCCTATACGGAGCATCAAGAGAAGCGGTTTGAACAGTCGCAAGTCAGAATCATGAAAGCCCTTATGCCCAGCAAAATCCAGCTTCTGGTGAATTACAAGTATCTCAAACTGATTCAGTCATTAATGCGACCCATGAATTTAATTTTGGTGGTGTAGCAGGTGTTACTTTTGGTTCAATAAATATGAAAATCTGTTCCATATTGATCTCTGCAGACTGGATGACGCCTCAAAAGTCAGAATAATTTTAAGAAAACTTGGGATGACGGAACATGAACGCTATAGTAACTTTATTCTTTCAAAGAACTCATGGGCCTTTAATTTTGATGAAACAATTAAAACCCTGTCTCACATCTCTGGAGAACAGTTATCTATATTAAATATCTGTTGTTAATGCTTGAAGATAACGAAAGAACAAGGAGATGACTGAGTGAAACATGCAGGAATTGTGAATGGAGAATGTGAGAGATTCAAATTGTCTTCCATGACAGAAGACCAGTTTAAATCCCTTGTATTTGGATGCAGCCTGCATTCACCCGAGGATATCTGAAAAAGAATCCTAAACAAACTTGAACATTGTCCCAGCATTACTCTATAGGAATTAGCTAGCGAATGCCAAAGATTAATCAAGTTGAAACATGACACCTTAATGGTCAAGAGCAGTGTCCGGTTTCATCACGTCAATGCAGTCAAGAGAAAAGTTTTACAGGGTTCTAGCACGCAGAATTATCGTAATGGCAGTGGCAAACCATCATCCCCATACTGGCTATGTGGCCATTGGCTTTTCAAAAAAATTTATCCGTTTAAAAATCATCTTTGTACTACGTGTTCCAAAAAACGACACGAAGAAAGTCATGGCAAAACCCGGAAACGCCGTCAATCGAAAGTGTATTCTAAAAGATTCAAGCCCCGATCAACCAAAGTAACGGTAGCTCTCAAGAGAACCGGCTGATGAGTCCCGAATGGGACGAAACGTGCGTCCTGAATTCCAGTGCTAGCCACCATCATCTCAGCTTATAATGCTTGTGACTGAACTCAATATCGAAGCAATCTTCATGGTATGCGCATATGCCATTAATAGACTGATCAACTGAAGTCCTGAACATCCATGGGAAAATTCAAGCAACCAGTACAGATTTGAAGTAACCTGTTATCGTTTATGCAGTTTTTCTTGTCATTAAATGTTTAAGAAATTAGACTGAATCAATTGAACACTGTCTGGCTATAGGATAAAATGTTCAATTATAATTTACTAATCTAAATTATCATAGTATGATGGACATAGATGTTTGAACTGATTATTTCTTTGCTTCATTATTATTCACTATAAATGAGATATAATTAAAATATTGGACATAATTTCAATTCTCTTGACAAACGAATATATCAGAATGAGTTTTGTGGAGATTTTTAAGAAATTTCACAGGTTGAAATCATGAGTCAATTGAAGCTAGACCACCATGGATAACCTGGAAGCACTGGACGCCCGTTTCTCCCTAGTATGGGACTCCTCAACAGTGGGCATTCACGATCCCCCACCCCACGGGGTTCGAACCCAGGACCTTCTGGCTTCGCGCGCGAGCACTTAACCATTAGACCACTGGGCCGGCATCCAACGGTGTTAATGTCTAACTTCAACCAATCCACGAAGTTGCGCCACCGAACACCATTGTCTTCAGTGAGCTGATATCTCACAACAGACCAGGTTGAACTCCAGTGCTTCAAGGTTTTCCATGGTGGTCTAGCTTCAATTGACTCATGATTTCAACCTGTGAAACGAATATATGTTATAACCTGTCCTTTATATTTGCATTATTTTATTGAAAGTTTTAAAATATATTTTAACCGGATTAAATTTAATTATTCATGATGGACAGAAACAAAAAAAATACACTGCACTTGATCGTTTTCTTTTAAAAAAATACTTTTAAAGATCTATTTATGACAGTGAAATTCATAAACCTGACAGTTTTTTAATACCTTCTTAGCTGTTAAATGATAATGACTACATTTTGATGTTTTTCTTTTTCCTTCCCCCCTCCCCTCATATAGTAGTAAACTAATAAAAATCATTTTTATGATTATTATTCAAGATAATTTTTATCTGTGCGATGTCTTTTCTCTCGTTTTACTTTCTCATAAGTGTTGCTGTTATTTCGTTTTCTGGTTTAATAATATTGGGTCGTAATGATGGTTGCCCTCTAGTATTGGAATGTACAGTCAGACTGATTTGTATGCACATATCTTTCTAAACCTAGAATATTGGTTCGGGACTAGTTTGTATCAGTAGCTTATCTAAACATAGTGAGTAAATTGATCAACTGATATGACAATTACACTAGAAAACTTAGTACACAGCATTCCTATTTATGTTACTTTACATTGGTGATATATTTTTTATGAACTAAGAAGACTTGAATAGGTTGCTAGTATTTGATAAATCCGATAAATTTTTTGCTTATAGTATAACTTCGGAGTGAATTCTGATTAGATAGAAACAGTAAGGTGGTTGATTAGAATATAAACCTTAATCGATTAGTATATGTAAAATGTATTTCTCGATATACATTATTCCGATATGCAGTACTGATGAGCAGTGGAATAAGTTGGATGAAAGTTTGGGGCGATTAGAGCAAACAGGATATGTACCAGAAAGTTCACATTTCACGGTTTGGATCTTTGTGATAATTATGACCTATAATTGATGACTTTTCCATTAAAACCTAATCTGATCAAATAGTTATTATGTGAACCATCAAACTGTTATCTATTATATATAACATACATGGCTCAAAATCGTTTTCAGTGACACAGGTGCATCCACTCTTGGTGTTCTCACAAATTTTAATCTTCTGAATTCTTCATGTCCCTTTTTTTTCTCTTTCCAAATTTATTTCACTGTATTATACTCCTTGAATAACATCTTCAAACCCTAATCTTTCCGATTACTGCTTATACTCTTACTACCTCTACCACTACGGGATTTGAATCGACAATTGTATCTGTGTGCTAATGTGGTGTGGCAACTCGAACTGATGTACGTACGTACGTACGAAGTTCAACGTTGTTATTGACTGACTGATATTGCATACCAGTAACAATATTGTTGTTCATTTGAGAGCCGTAATTTGTAAGTATAACTTCACACACTAATGACTAAAGATTATGAGAAATTCTCTTCATTCATTCCAGTAAATGTTAAGGTGTCCATAAAAATTATTATTGTTTAAATTCCTACTTTTCCCACCAAAAAGATCGGAAATTAAAAAAACTGTTGAAATTGTACTTCTTTCGTATTGGTTGTTTAGACGTAATTGTTATTTTAATGAACTGTTTAATTGACAACTTTCCAAAGTCACTTAGGTAATATTTCATCAGTTGTCTTTGTCCATTTAGTTGTTTACTTAAGAGAGAATACCTCTTCTTTTTGTCATGATCAATCTCTACTTCACTTTTTTAGTTGTTGTACATATATCGTTGAGATGTCATTATGTAACATAGTTATTCGATATTGTAATACTCGTAGTCAATTTGTACTTTTATCAGTATGATCACCCAACCCTTTTTCATTTTCATTAATTTACTTATGAATATATCAACATGAGATACCGTGTCGAGGTTTATCATTCTTGTTGCTAATGCTAATCACTCTACCATTGTCTTTTTGTCTTCATCTTTTTTATTTTAGTTTCCGTGCATCTATGCAAGCAAGACGTTTAGGTATTCGAACACGAAGAGAGCGTTTGGTGAGTATCAGCTATATGTATATATAGTACGAAGTATTTAACAGTTCACGCTATGCATTGCAATATCAGTGAAACCATTTACTCGTTTTGATTTCGAAATATCCTACCCGTAGGTATCTTTGATTCAGTATGGTTAAGTAGATAAGCTCGTCAGCCACTTCACTCTTGAAATTTTTACCTTCTGTGATTAGTTGATATTTGAGAAAATCTTGAAGTATATTCAAAACGTTCGTCTAGGTTTTGCTAACTTACGCCACTTGTGGAGTAGCCAAGATGATCGTCTGCTTACGAAGTTATGTACATATTACTCAGTTCACTCTGTGATATTGTATAGGTGTGAGACATGGTCTATAAAAGTAGGAGACATGTGAAGACTACGCTATAGGTGATATTAGACTGTAGTTTGTGAATCTGTCTTTTAGATCAAATACATCTGACTAGATAGATATAATAAATCCTCAATTCCATTTCCTAGTTACATCAATGTTTATGTCAAATAAATAGGAACAGTTCCATTGTCATTCTAAACATTTTATTAATTGCCATGTCCATGTTTTACAGAATAGTTCAATAATCTGAATTAGTTCCTTGAAATTAGTTTTTTTCTCTTGTTTTCATGTCCATATTATTAACACAGATTCCCTTAAGTACAAGATATAGCTATGTAAATGATTTCGAATTGGTTGTCAACACTTTTACCATAATAAACCTGAATTACATAATCGTAATCATTAGATAAGATTTTTAAAGAAAATTGTTTATTCCGTGAAATAGAATACATGTAAAGCATTAAAATTATTATACACCATCTCATTAGTTAATACAGTTAACAATAACATAATATTTATCGATGTTCTTTTTAACAATCGTCAGTAAGTTTAATATATAAACATTATAGTGTGATTTGTATGATTACAATAATGATATATTTTGAATAGTTAAGTTGTTCTGCCTTTGATAAACACCTTTCCACTCTTTCAGTAAAACTCTCGAGATTTTATGCAATGCTTAAAGTAGACATTCTTGTTAACACTTCATAATTAAATCAATCGGTATATTTGATGGGTTTTATATTAATGAAATGAGGATTTTTGCAAACAGTGAAATGGTAAGATATTTAAACTGATGATGACCTCCATGTTAGTATGATAATAAACTTGTCCATCAGTTTTTAGCCGTTATATATATATATATATATATATATGATTGACATAAATAAACCTTTATACGAAAATCTAATTCAATGTATTTCATGTAATTATATCAGTCAGTCGGCTACAATATAGGACCAGGCACACATATGCATCGGTCCAAGTTGCCATACCTCATTAGCACAACACGATGAACACAGGATTCATAGTAATTATATCATCTATTCTGTAATAAGGTTTATTTCACACCTTTAATATATTTTTAATACTGAATGAATAAATAAATGAACGAGGTAAACTGTTTAGAAATAAATCCAAGTATAAATGAATAATGTTATTTTTATTAAGTTGAATTTAGAATATTGGTTTATTCGAGCTTATAAATAAAACAGTTGTTCAGTATTACGTAACTTTTGTTCATCATAAATATATACATTCTGAAAATGTCAATTCATTACAGTCATGATTAAGTTGATACAAAACACAAAGCAACATTCCAAAACGATAAGGTGACATTATTCCAACAAATTGTATTTCACAAATTATTTTGACTGGACATTTGTAATGTTGTTTTTAAAAATTGTGAAAAATAAGTTGCATACAGTATATTTTTTAATATGAAGTGAAATCATCTCAAAATACAGTTTTTAACGACAGGATACAAATTATCAGTATAGGGTTGTGGAGATTGTTACGTTTTTAAGATTGATATCATGAATGGATCATTGTTAGACCACCACTGAAAACCTGGAAACACAGGACGGCCGTTTTGTCATGTGATCACTAGTGGACTAGCTTCAAGATGGATTTCCTGGAGTTCTAGTGAGAAGCCGTGACCAATGGAGTTCAAACGTGTTTATTGTGAGGCAGTTACTCATTGAAGACAATGGTGGACAGTCGCACAATATCGCGGAATGGTCAAATTTAGACATTAACACAGTTGGATGCTGACTCAGTGGTCTAGATTTTAAGCGTTCGCGTGCGAGACCGAAGATCTTGGGTTCGGATCTCGCGTGAGGGATCGTGGATGCGCACTGCTTAGAATATAAATTGTTATAATAACTAATTGTGTATGCAAAAGTTGGTACTGTTACATAATTTGTGATAAACATTGTCAGGTACCTTTAGAAGATGGCATAACTGCAAAGTTATGTGCATTCTATGTTATTGGATGTTAACTCCTTTCCTTGGAAAGTACACTTAACAGTTTATTCACCAGATTTCAGCTGCTCAACATATATACGAACAAAGTTTATAATGCTTTTGCTCAAATTTAGTAAACATTCTCAGGAGATACATAAAATGTTTTGTGGAAATCGTTCGTTCATTGAGTAAACCATCTGTTTTCAAAAAGGCTATGCGTCTTGGTAATCACTGTAAAGGCTCCAAGGATATTGGAAGGACAGAGAAAAAAATTTTCTTTATTTATGAAGTTATTGGACATGTGTTTGTTCTTTAATTTCTGATCACTGATTCCTTGTCCCGATGATTACTAATAAAAAGATATTGAATACTTGTTATACTTTTTGATAAACAAATCGACCAATAATATTGAATACCCTTAGTTTACATTCTAATTATGTAAAACAATAAACCCTTTCAGGTTCCCACGATATAGGACGATAACGAAACATTTGTGTAATAAAAATGAAGCATGGAAAACCTGAGTGAAGTAATAAATATACAAAATAAAAACAGTTAAAATGATTTTTAACAAAAATCTGTTTGTCGAGTTTGTCAGTTTATTTCTTTGTATGACTTATAGTGTTTAACCACTGGTTCCTAGCACTGACAATGTTGAAGAAAACGTTTCCAACTATATAGTATTTGAATACTTTTTGCGATCAATATTTATTGAACTAATATACACACATAATGGGAATTTCTGTTGTTGTGGACTGATATCAGCTTGAAAACTAGGATTAATTAGGCAGTTGTTTCATTTCGAGCTTGGAACTCCTCACCATGAACAACGTTGAATTGTCAAGTCAGCAAATTGAAAATGGACTAAAGTTGTAAATAGAAACCATTTTACATTGACTCGGTGATCGAAAAGTTGAACTCTAAGGACCTGAATGTCTTGGGTCCTGTCTCCTGTGTAATTACGGACATGGACTGCTGAGAAGTCCTCTACTAGAGTGAAACAGTTGTCCAGTAGTTACCTGAATTAAATCAGTTCGTAATGTTAACAATAAAGTTGAAACTGTCAGTCTTTGAATTTTGTCTCGCAGCTATTCTGAAGCTAATATACTTGCCAAAAGATTTGATGACTCTGTCCTATGTCACGAGTGCACGGTACGTAGTAGTTACAAACTAAGATGGAAGCAGCTACCTAGTTCTCTTTGATTTTCAATGTCAGAAAGCGCTTTCAGACTAAAATAATTTCCGCAAATCACCTAACCAAATGATACCCATATTTATTTATGTAACTTAATTATAGGAATGAGATGTATTACTGTGGCATATTTCTGTATCAGTTCAAGTTATCACTATACAGCAACCAGATGACTATAAAAAGAGATAGAACAAGTAGTATTATCAATGTTAAGAAAAAAGATTATGCATGGTGAATATGAATACTGGTTAAAGAATGAATTCACTGCAAAAATCTATGGATAGAGATCATATCTTGAAAGTTAAGATAAAATAACATCACTTGGTGTTATCTTGTAAACATACTTATCAACTTTAACAAGAATATATACCGTTGGATGTTCCTTTGAAATTGGTTGCATGTTTAAAAGAAGATGAATACTTTTTATGTTCCCTACAGTGTCCTTATGCTTTTGTGTCTATGTATGTGTCCCCTCGTGGCATGATATACAAATCATATCTTAAAATAAACAAACTATGTAAATGGACACTTGTTGATAAAACTGTTAGAGATACTGTGTTTTTTTTCTTAAAGATAGTAGTGCACTTTGATTAAATAGGCTAGAAAAAATGTCCTTTTTCTGAAGATTGAATTTTATAAATTTCTAAAGTTGTAAAATTTACTAGTTAAAATCAAAATTTCCTCAAATGAATAGGGCCAGAGAAAATAGTTTCCTATAGACGATGTTCTACATTTAAATAAACAAAACAAACCAAATGATCTGGCTAACAGAATGATATGAAACATCATTTAATCAAGAAAATATTCTTTCTAGTGATTGGATTCTCATAAAATGTATTGTTGTATGAAGTTTTTTCGTTGTAGAAGTATACCAGATCGTTATGTACAGAAGCAATGTTCACCTTCACTTTCATTACAATTGCTGTAGTTTCTTTTATATTTCTTCATTTTTTATATTCTCGTAATTGCTGTTGGATTGTTTTTTTTATCCTTAAGTTACGTGTTATCTGATCCTGCTTAGTTCATTGTATACTAACGTTTTCGACTAAACATTTCATTCATTCGTCTATTATTTTTGTACTGACTTCTTCATTTACTAACTAAGTGAGTTTCGTCATGGATTAAAATCATTTGTGGTATCATTGAAAACCAATATACACTAAATAAAGCTAGAACAAACTTTGATGCAGAATAATATGAATTCATCATATTTTGTGCTTTCGCATCAACTGCTTACAACCATATATGTATTAAAAGTTAACATTGAGGTATGATATAATGTGAAACAACTGACATAGATGAAGCTATCATTATATATATACGCAGTTGGAATTGAAGACGTAAGATGTGGGTGATGCATCAATCAAATGACGTCTGTAGAATGATAAAGTGGATTGTGTGATAATTTTAGAGATTATGAAGGGTTTACATAAGATAACTGGATTAAAGACTGATAAGATGGGTTGTGTAATAATTGGACAGGACTTGAAGAGTTTACATAAGTTACGAGAATTAAGCGAATGAAAACGTAATAGTGAAAGGATAGTTTTGGTGTACATAATATAAGACCATGTGACATAAACACTAATAAAATAATGATAATAACAAAAAAACTCACCAAGGTAGTGATAAGTTTATTACTGTCTCTTTCTGGATACATAAATCAGGTTTGAGCTTTTTTATTGCTATTGCATCAATATATTTAAAAGATGTTACGTTCTGTTGTCTGCTGATAATTTTAAAGGCTTGTGGCCAGGTGTTAAGCAAATGCCGAGCCATTTTGCCTCTCATTCTCACGTTTTTTGGGACATGTATTCTCTCTCTTCTCACAATGTATGTGCTTTGGCACATACATGTAAATTGGCAAATGCATTTAGAGGTACCGAGAAAAGAGGACCTGTCGATTTTTGTTTGTTCGAGTGAGTAGTTTATTTCTTATATTATTCTGCATCAATGTTCGTTCTGGCTTTACTCAAATTATTTAAGGAAAACAATAGACATTGAACAGCTTTCTTTATCATAACATGAGACTTAGCAGTGATGCATTGCTCTACAACTTTCAGCTCTCTTAGCGGGCACAATTTCTTTAGACCATTAACTTGGAATTCAATTTCAGTGTTGTATTATAATCATTCAATTGCACCAGTGGTGATTGTCCTACTCCCTATATATGGCTAAATCTTATCAATTATAACTTCATTTTACTTCACCATTAGGCTCTTTACTCGATTGTTATAATGGTAGAACAAAGTGTTCCCCTTTGCCGCGGTATACCACTATTATTCGACCGGTAAATAGGATCATACTATCATCAAACTAGATACTCGATCGATACACTACATTTGGACGGGATCTCGTTATACCACATACATGATTCATGATCAAAAATAGGACATCAGAGCATATGCTAGACAATACTTAGTTCAACAGTTACAAACAGTTCACACTTTCAGTGAGTCCGGTGTCGATTCCAATTGCACGAAGGGAACCATATATATTTAGTCCTGTCTGTCTGTCCACGCTCACTGGCCAATCATATCTATAACACGAACTATGCACATGAATACTGCAAAAATAACCTTATTGATCACATTAAACGTTCCATACAAATTTATGATCATATGTGGATTTAATAGTAAAGTTTTTTGGGAAGACAAGTTCTTTGTCAAACTATTTGCTTTTTGTCTTAATCGTGATTAATTCTGAATCAGATAAACCTATTCCATATTGTTGGGACCTCACCACATTTTTACTCTCCGTAATACTTCAGTTATCATACAAATAAAATTTGACACACATTAATACCATTGAAGGAGATCGGAAGTTATGGTAATAAAAATGATAGGAATGTGAATAAAACTAAGAAGATTGAGTGCATTGCCTCAGCTGACTATTGTATCGAAAGTTCGATAAGAGAACATGGGGGGATAGAACAAACAGTTGTATAACGAAAAAAGATGAAACCAAGTTTATAATGATTGACAAGTATTCTAAGTTGGTTAAAATGAAATTTTAGTATAAAAAACCTTGAATTTATTGTTATGAAATTCGAAACGTTTAAACTCGTCAATAAGGCGAGATGGGACCTAACAATCGCTTCCGTATGAACTCATAAACCAACCTTCAGACGTCTAATAGCTATAGTGTTAGCAAATTAAGAAGCATCTGACTTTGAGGCTTGTTAGACATCATAAAGGAATTGCGGGTTGATGTTGATTGCTATGTTTATATGACAAATGAAGTCACATTTTTAGATATCTCACTTCTGAATGCATGATATCTGGAATATAATCAATTAAATCTAAGTTGAATTCCCCATTCTAGTGATTATATGCTTTGTCTTATCAAGAAAAGCATTTTTTCTATTTAACATTCTTCATAATGAACACAGAGTTTCTGAGAATCTATACGCTCTCGTGTTATTTATATTGTAATATCCTAGCTATGTTGAGGGAGTGAAGTAGTTGAGTTTGTCGACCGCTTCACTTATCTGGGAAGTCTCATCAGCCCTTGTGGTCTGGTTTGTGACGAAATCTCAGCACGGATACAGAAGGCTTGACTAGCTTTTACCAACTTGCGTCATTTATGGCGTAGGCGAGATATCCGTCTATCAACAAAAGGACGTGTTTACTGCGCAGCAGTTCGTTCTGTCCTTCTTTATGGCAGTGAAACATGGCCGGTAGGAGTAGAGGATATCCGTAGGTTACTAGTATTCGATCATAGGTGTCTTCGAAACATTGCTCGTATATCCTGTGACCATCGAGTAAGTAACACAGTTGTTAGGGATCGGGTACTAGGTAAGGATGGCAGATCAATTGATGAAGTAGTGAAACTTCATCAGTTGAGATGGCTGGGACACGTGTTACGTATGCCCAACGACCGACTGCCTCGACGTGCTATGTTCAGTGGTATAGGAGTAGGTTGGAAGAAAGCTAGGGGTGGACAGACCAAAGCATGGCACAAGTCCATGAAGTCACTGACAAGTGGACTGTGCCATGTTGGTAGGTGCAGACTACCTGGTTGGGGACCACGAGATGATAGCAACCGATGGTTAGAGACCCTGAATGACATGGCTCAAAATCGTTTGCAATGGGGTAGGTGCATCCACTCTCTGTGTTCTCCCCAATTCTGATCTTCTGAATTCTTCATGTCCCTTTTTTCCTCTTTCCAAATTTATTTCACTGGATTATACTCTTTAAATAACATCTCCAAACCCTAATCTTCCCGATTACTGCTTATACTCTTATTACCTCTACCACTACGGGGTTTGAATCGACAACTGAATCTCTGTGCTAATGTGGTGTGGCAACTCGAACTGATGTACGTGCGTACGAAGTTCTACGTTGTTACTGACTGACTGACTGACTGAGCTATGTTGAGTTGCTTATTAACAAAGGTATTCACAATTTTAAAGTGAGCAAAAGCAAAGTTTGGTGCAGAATAATATGAATTCATTTTATTTCGTCAGGTTCTCATCACCTGCTTACAACCTGTAATATTTAAAATCAACGTTATTACAGATATTGGCATACTTATAGATACGTAGATGGTTAGAGATAAATATGTTTATCATGATGTAGCGAACACTTCAATAGAGTTAATAAATTCATAAAAAATTTTGTTTCGGATAAATAGATAAAGTTTGAGAGGCCAAGTTCTAAAACACACGTGGTAATTAGAAATCATAGAGTTAACAAACATTTGATAATTGTGCAATAAAGTAAATGAAAATAGATTAATAGTAATAAAGAAAGATATGAATTGATATCAGTCAGTTATGAATGAAAATTATGAATTCAAGAAAATGACAATGATGTAATCAAAACTTGAGAAAAAGGTGAAATAATGAATGATGCAATAAAAACGATGTAATGTTACTAGGGCAAAGAAAGATTTATTACTGTTTTTTCTAGACATACAGATGTGGTTTTAGACGTTTGATCGCTATTGCTTCGTCAAATTTCAAAAGATTGGAGTGTGATCGTTTATTAATCACCTTGAAAGAATTCAGTGTATCCACTTGATGTTCTGTATCAAGATGGCCCTGCTGAATGCCTTTAATCCATTTGACCTTAGACTTTTGGAATATGTTCTTTGAATCAGTTTTAGGCTCTCCCTTTTGTTCTACCAATGTAACTGCTCTGGTAGATACATGTGAATTTGCATACACAGTTGGTGTTAAAAATTCCGGAAGATTCTTCGACCTTTAAACCTGAGAAATTGAGGATCGTCAAAAAATGTTTTGTGTATCCCGGGTTTTTGTTAGGAAACTTTATCTTTTTTACTGTTTATTGCTCACAGATTATTATAGTTAATCAAGATACATGAAATGATAGTGAACATTTGTAGCTCAGTTGGATAATTTAGGTGCAGTTTTGTTGTCTATGGTAGATGGTTTAGCCGTGGAGGCTTCAATGTTTTTCAGTGGAAGCTGCACGACCAAACCATGCACCTCAGAAAACAAAATTCCACCTAGATCTAGATAAATATTTCATCACGATTCTTTATAATAAATTAAGATTACTTACTTCATCTTCCAATATTTTCCCTCATCACAGAAAGCGGTCCTACCACCTATTCACGAAAATAACCAATTTAATGAATCTCCTTTACAATCTTCCAATAATAACAAACCTAACCAGTCTTCCAATCCAGTTGTAACCAATGACTTGAATAAATCTCCAATACGTTTTATGAATTATAAAGATGTAAAACGACAAGAGCATGGTAAGTGAATTGATTGTAATAAGTTATTTTTGTGAATTACTCGTAAAAATATATCTTACAATAAGTGACGCATTTTTATTGTTTGCATATACCTCATTTACACATGATCAAACTTTAACACATAAATTTAAATTCTTTTTACCAACAGTAAACTTCCACTTTAGAGCGATTAGTTAGTTGATTTTTGAAGCCTACACGAACTTCTTCAGTTGGTCTAGATAAATCTGAACGTGTTTGACAATCAGTAGTAACGATTGATTGTGAAAGCATAATTTCTTGATGAATATGTTCGATCATCTGATATTTAACAGTGACCTTTCTTGGCATTTACATTAATTTCGGTCATGGAGAATTCGCAGTGGATATTACGTCTAAAAAACTGGTCATCTGATGCTTTTATCATTATTAGTAAGCCTTTGAGTTGTCCTGCTGTTAATATCAAGGACTAACTTTAGATCAGTCTTTATTGACATATATACATTGCCCGTTATTTAGGATAGATGAATTGTTGGTAGCGATGGAAACTAGGTCAGACGTTCCTCTCTGTTTAAGACTCGCCAGGTAAATGTGTCGACATCCTATTGCTGATACCCACATTGGAACTGGAACCCAGTGGTCTTCGCCTCAAACGCCAATGGGTCATCTACTGATTTACTGAGTTAAGATATCCAATAACTTATCCGGCAGATATGGTTTTTGGAGCGAGTCCCAAAATGTCCATTAACACTGGGATTCAGGTAAACCTATCTGGAATGTTTCAAACAAGGCGAAACTTATATTGTCAACTCCACTCCAAGCCACGATTCACTTATCCTAAATCTCCAAATTATGGTCCTCGACTGTTGGCAAATGTTTAATTACAGTTGGTAAATCTAAAACTATAAACATTGCCATTTTGTGTCTCATGCCACTATAATCATTATTTGGGCTGTTGTACATTCGAAAATGAAATTGTTTTTGTTATGTATCTGCAATAAAAAATATTTTGTGTGAACTTTTAACTCAGTTATCTAACCAGCAGGCTTTCAGCCATTGTATTCTATAATGCAATGGATTCATTTTTACTTTTGTTTTGTATTAGCCACTGCATATTTAGTGTAGCCAATACACAAATATGTATGACTTTGTTAAGACTAAGTTTTTTCATCGATTCTTTAATAATTTGTGCTAAATATTAACGATATTTGCGACTTATGTGTATACTTGGTGGTTTATATTCACCAACCAACCATATATGTTGGTCTAAACTGCATATGGATTTGGCCAATAATTTTGCCTCAAAGTATATGTTTTTGTATTTCGTCCGAAGCGTGTGTTTTGATTAACAATCATTTCATTATCATTCAGGCTTTTATCTTCTATTTAAGTACATGAATATAAGGTATTGTGACTAGTTGTGTTAAACTAATTTATAGTCTCAGTTAAAATATAGTAGTCAATAGTTTGTTTTCCTGTGTCAAAAAGACTTTCGTAATATGTATAAACATTTTCATTTGTTTTATTTCACTAAACTGAAGTCACTTTGAGACTTCATCGAGTTTCGTAGTCATATTATTGTTACAACATTTTTACTTTTCTAAGCATTTCTCGTGGTCCGCATGTTGGTTTTCTCTTTTGAGTCGGCAGTCGGAAATATATTTTTGGTTTACCTGCTCCATTTCATCTTTTTATGGTCATGCACCGCTGGGAATTATTGCGATAACAGTTTTCCAGTCGATTTGGATAGGAGGTATCAGAATAATCACTTTGATACCGGTACTGCCTCTTCCAATGTTAAATCGTTTCCCAATTAAATTATTACTTTAAACAACAACATCACAATATAAACTGTCATTTTCTGCATACTTGAGATCTTTTAAGGTCATATAATTCATTTGAATAAATCTACTTTGAGTGATGATTGAAACTTAACATTAGTTTTGATTTAGTAATATTAGTACGATCATTTGAAACATATGGATGCATTCGTTTTTAATGAATGTGGTAATCAAAATTTTGCAGCATACTAATTTTTATGTTTTTTTCTTTATTTCTAAATAATAAATGCTAGATATTTGCAAAATATTTATTCTTAATTACTAGTATTATTCATAATACAACGATAATTGGATGCCGGTTCAGTGATCTATAGGTTAAATCTGTAATGCGTGTTTTTTGAAAATTGTCCTTGATGCAGATCGTTTATAAAGCTGGGGTTTGCAACCACTTACTTGATAATGAATAGTACGAATTAATACGCTAGTTAATAGATAGGACACACATTAGATCACGCTTCTAAATAACTTACCAGATTAATTAATTTGACCATCAGCTTAGATCGGATGATAAACAGATATATCATTCTGACCAACGATTGAAAACAATATATAAGCTGGAACAGTCGTTTATTGGCATAAATTCAAAGCAGTCGCACAATGTAAAATCCAGAGGAGAAAAGAATTTATAAATTCAGCGAAATTATGTGTCGATCCAAGATAGACCATCGTTAAAAGCTTTGAAACACTAGTCGGCTGTTTTGTTCTAGTATCGGATTCTTCAGCAGTGCTCATCTACAACCCTGTTTCCGGGACTCGAACCCGAGACCTTTGGTCTTGCGCATGAGCGCTCAACCTCTGAACCTCTAAGCTGGCATCCAACAGTGTTGATGTCTAATTTTAATCAGTCCACGCCATTGCGCGACTATTCGTTGTCTTCGATAGGTAACTGCTTCACATCCCACACGGTTCGGTGCGAAGCCTCAACCAATGGAGTAAACACAAATTAAGCTATACATATTTACCCGAAACTTTGAAATAATGACCACTGGGTGATCAACTAACAAAATTATTCCCCTGTTGATCTACTGTGTAAGAGCTGTACGGGACTGTCATTATACTACACCCATTTTGTTAAAGCACTTAGAATAAATTATGAAATAATGGAGAAAATTTATAGCTCAGCAAAATAATTTCAGTGAACGTGTGTGCTCTGAGTTCAATAGTTTAATAGTGAAACTTTCCGTGTCTCTCTAGACAACATTATCAGCTTGTACTTTAAGAACGAGTAACCTATTTGGATTTCTTCAAAGTTGACTAACAGCTTAGTCTATTGATATGGGTTTTTATTAGGTATTGTCTATAATTATAGATAAGATTGACTTTCCGAGGAAGTAGCAAAATAATACTGTTTCCTTGCACAAAATAGCGTTGCAATTTCAATTTAATCGAAAGTTTTTCAGACAAATAAGTGTAGCCATGGAGTTTTACAAATTATTTAAATACTTCGTTTTGTTTATGTGGTCCATAACATTTACAAACGTTTCTCATCTTTCCTACGAACTTTTTATTTTGATCATTATGGTTCCTTTATTGTTTATTTTTTAATTGCATTTATGCATATTATAACAAGTTTTCTTATAGTGAACATTAGTAAATAAGATGTTTTTCCTTCGTCAATTTAGTCATCCCATTAATATTGTTTTCTGATGGTTTACATCATAGACTGATCTTATGTAACCACTAAAAACCAGAGAGCACTGAATCACTGTCTTTTCCCAATGTGGCACTGTCCAGCGTTTCCCATCCACAACTCAACCGGGGATCATACCGTTGGGTTGTGTAAATCTAACAATCTTCACAAACCGTCTATAATTACTATTATTATTATCATCATTATTATGATCAATTTACTGGTAAATACTACCGATTTTATGATTGTACCTGCCATAATCAAAATAGCTTCCACACCTTTCTTGTACTCAATTACATCATGGTCTCTCTCTCGCGCGCGCTTGTTCTGTTCACCTATAAATTCAACTTGTGTGAATACTGAAGTACTTATGACTACTATTCACTAGTAAACTTAATGATTTTATGCATGTTACATACCAAAATACATTCGTCAAACATTTTATTTATTTACGCAAATCAGTGCATGGGGGAAAGATTTAAAAAAAACAGATTTATGAAATGAATTCACTTCATCCCACGATGTTTGTTGTTCTTGCTTAACATTAGTCTATAATTATGTTATAACTTTCTGTTTGCTTGATCATTCCATTTCAGTATTAAGTATGCATGAAATTCTGTCTATGAGAGAGAAGGTAACGAACAAGTATGGTGAATTTGAATTTTTTGAATTGTATCTCTATCATATCCAAGTTTACCGAATAAAAGAATTTTCATCTTATCTCTCAGCATGGTTACTTTTCTGCCTGTCAAATATGATCTATCCCGATCAGATATATTTGATTCATATACAGTTTTAGTGTTTGTTGTATTTCAATAAATAAATTTGTTCTTTTCTTTTCGAATTTATAAGTGTAAATCTATAAAATCTATGATTCGTCAGTATAGTTAGCGTTCGTCTTTTTTTCATTCATCTTCTATCTGTTTAGTAGATTTTATGTTGTCTATTCATTTATTTTCTTTTGTTATCATGTTTGTGTGTATATTTCATCTTGAACAATTCAACTGTTTTAACTTGAACTTATCCCAGATATTGGACATATGGTCAAACTGAGGTAGAATCACTAGGCATGTGTGTGTGAATGTATACAAATTAATGCGGTAAAACAATAGAAAACGTGATGTGTTTACAATAAGGAAAATGAATGAAATCAATTTGTTGAGATTTAGATGGTGGTTGGAGGTAGTCAGCAAGAAACCCTGGATCCGGGTTTCGTGCTACTTGGAACTCGTCAGTAAGGTGTACCTGTAATCTTGAGGGAACTGATGCTCCCTGGCGGATTCGATCTTGTGTCACCCAGCTTCACAGTCAGAGACGTTACCACTGAGCTATCCGAGCCGTGACTAACCTCCTGTAGGACTGAAATGAAATCACTTTGTTCTTGATTAATTATCTGAAAAATGATCAAAACTCACTTGTTAGTTTAAAACTGATTGTAGTCACTACTGTTCACTAATTCAATAGATCAAACTGAAAGGCTATCTGTTTCTTATTTGAGTAATGAGTATTTGTAATCCATGTGTTTTATTTTATTAGTTGTATTGTCTAAGTTATTTTACTCAGAGATTAAATTTTTCTTAATAGCATTGTTAGCTGTTATGTAATGGAAGATATTACTTTGTTTTTATGATTTTATGTCTGTCTTTATTTTTGGCAGCATTAAATCTACTTGCTGACGCTGTGGCTGATTTACCTAATCCAAAGGTTTTCCGTAGACCTTCAGCACGTCAACCTCGATTAAATTTACAAACTCTTAATACATCAGATGTAATATCTCAGAACATAGGGAATAATGTAGGCAATTGTAAGTCTTAGTGTTTAAATTAGATTAGTATATGATTTACTGTAGTGTTATTCACTAATTATTTTCTCATAACTAATATGTGTGAACGATAATAAATTATTAATGAGCTTATGTTCATGTTTTAGCTGTTAATCTCTTCAAACTGAACTACAAGATTGATCGACCAACTAGATACTCAGCTTTAATTTACTTGTTATAGGTTCGAACCCCTTTAAAACTCTGGTTTTAGTCCCAACTCAATACATATATGGCTCAGCATCTAACTCACGAGTCTGTATTTGTCACTTTTTTCATGGAACAATTGTTTGATGATGCTGAAAAATATAATTAACAATTCGATAAAATAGTCGCTTGTGAAGATGTAATCTGTGTCTGGTTAGTTGTTTTTTTGGCTTGGTAGTGTGGCTGTTAAAAAAGTGCATGCGACTCCAAACATTTTCACAAAATTAAACTAATCTCCACTGTCTATGTAAATATGTTCGAGTAAACAAGCGTATACTATCCTAAATCGACTAAATGAAATCTATCAGAATAGCTCACTAGCTTATGAAATGTCACTAGAAAAAGTCAAAATATTTGGATTGTTTACTATCCCACTGTCAATTTTTTCTCATGCCGATATCAGTAATTAAGGTAGGATTTTATTCAGAGAAACACGTGAACACTCTAACTTTCTCTCTGTTTATAATCATTTTATCCAGGTTTATCTTTTTTTATCTTCCATTCGCTTTTCTCTTCAATGTTATTGATGGTTTCTTTTTAAATTTTAATTGTTTCAAGTAATCAAAAGTTTTTTTAATAATACATTATTCATTAAACGAACAGTTAATTGTTGATTAAGATCATGAATCGATCAACGTTAGACCACCATTGAAAACCTTGAAGCACTGAACTAGTGAGAATCCGTGACCAGTGTGGTTAATCCATATAGGTTACCCACTAAAGACAATGGAAGATGGTCACTCAATATCGTGGATTGGCTCAAGTTAGACATTAATACCGTTGGATTCTGGCCCAGTAATCTAGAGGTTAGACGTTCTCATACGGATTAAAGTCGTAAATAACATAAAAAACAATAAAATTGTGGGGATGGGAATTGTGGAATTACACTGTATACTACTGATTTTTATACAAAGAACGAATTTATTTTCAATTTCTTTCTACCTAATTTAACTTCAGGCGGTGTAAAAAATACAAAGAATAAATTATCCTCATCTCATAATAATGATGTCACTGACAACAATCACAATGTTACTACTACTGCTACTCCTACTACAACTACTGGTAAATCTACTTTACGCTTATCATCCTCTGAACCGGATTTGACAATTACTATGAGAAATTATTCACGTCAACGTGGTGATATACGTGATTTAGATTGGTCAATAATTAATAATGATGGTAATAAAAATAATAAATCATCAAAGCACAAAACTGATAAACGATCCCGTGAACATTCATTAACTTCATTGAATCATCGAATTGGTTATTTACGTCATAAAAAACTGAAACGATCTAAAAGTCAATTGAAATCAACAAATGTTTTAAATGACAGTAAAATTAATGATATACACGGTAATAATAGTTTGTTAACTTTTGGTGAAGGTGAAGATAATGATAATTCAATATTGAAAGAAACAAAACCTTCTTCTAAACTTCATTTTCGGAAAAAAATTAAAAAAACATGGCTTGGAACATGTCGTTTAAATTCACATGAAAAACGAATTGTTAATGATTTATACTTATTTAGTGCTGATAATCTCCCTGAAAAAGTTGGTAAGTAGTCAGTTTAGTTTTTTTGATTATTGATGTGTATATAATTCATAACAAATATCTGCAGACTTTTGCACAGTTTTATTTTACTCGGATTTCATTTCTGTATTGAACAAATTATTGTTGCCAATAGCATTCATTCTCCAGTGAACCAAGATCATGATTTATATCAGTCAGTCAGTTAGTAACGACATAGAACTTCGTACGTACGTACATCAGTTCGAGTTGCCACACCACATTAGCACAGAGATGCAGTTGTCGACTCAAATCCCGTAGTGGTAGAGGTAGTAAGAGTATAAGCAGTAATCAGAAAGATTAGGATTTGAAGATGTTATTCAAGGAGTATAATAAAGTGAAAAAAATTTGGAAAGAAAATAATGGACACGAAGAATTCAGAAGATTAGAATTTGTGAGAAGACAAAGAGTGGATGCACCTACCCCATTGCAAACGATTTTGAGCCATGTCATTCAGGGTCTCTAACCATCGGTTGCTATCATCTCGCGATCCCCAATCAGGTAGTCTACACCTAACAACATGGCACAGTCCACTTGTCAGTGACTTCATGGACTTGTGCCATGTTTGGGTTTGGCCGCCCCTAGCTTTCTTCCAACCTACTCCTATACCACTGAACATAGCACGTCGAGGCAGTCGGTCGTTGGGCATACGTAACACGTGTCCCAGCCATCTCAACTGATGAAGTTTCACTACTTCATCAATCGATTTGCCATCCTTACCTAGTACCCGATCCCTAACAACGCTGTTACTTACTCGATGGTCACAGGATATACGAGCAATGTTTCGAAGACACCTATGATCGAATACTAGTAACCTACGGATATCCTCTACTCTTACCGGCCATGTTTCACTGCCATAAAGAAGGACAGAACGAACTGCTGTACAGTAAACACGTTCTTTGGTTGATAGACGGATATCTCGCCTACGCCATAAATGACGCAAGTTGGTAAAAGCTAGTCAAGCCTTCTGTATCCGTGCTGAGGTTTCGTCACACACCAGACCACAAGGGTTGATGAAACTTCCAAGATAGGTGAGGCGGTCGATACGCTCATCTACTCCACTTCCTATCATTAGTTCGGGTGTCGATGCAACCCGATCCTGAAGCAACATTTTACATTTCGATGGGGAGAATCGCATGCCGAACATGCATGCATTGTTGCTTAGAATGGTCACAAGACTCTGCATTTTGTCAGCGTCTTCACGAAATAGACCTATGTCATCGGCATATTGTAAGAAAACAAGTGAATCTCCCGGTAGAAGTTCAAGCCCTGGAAATTCAGATGAGGAAAGTGTCATCTCTAAAAGCACGTCAACAACAAAGTTAAACAAGAATGGAGAGAGTGGACAGCCCTGACGAACACCATTTGAGGTAATCAATTCTGATGACAGTTCGCCATAAGCTCTCACTCTACCAGTCGTGTTCGAGTAGAGAGCCTTTATAAGGTTAATGTACTTCTTTGGTACTCATTTCAATGACAAACACTGCCATAGAACCTTACGATCTACAGAGTCGGATGCTGCTTTAAGGTCGGGAAATACTACCATTGTGGGGCGTCTGAACGTGTGTCTGTGTTCTAGAACCTGACGTAGTGTGAGCATCTGATCTATACAACCACGTCCAGGTCGAAAACCAGCCTGATTTTCTCTAGTCTGCTCTTCACGAGCTTTAGTTAGGCGTCGAAGTATTATTGAGGCTAGTATTTTAGACACTATATTAGTCAAACTGCTTCCTCTGTGATTGTCACAAGGGGAATTTTGTCCTTTCTTATAGACTGGCACAATCAGTGATTGAGACCAGAGAGATGGGATTACGTCCAGTTCCCAAATTCTACCTAAGACCTCAGTTAATCTCACTGCTAATACTGAACCACCATCCTTGAAAATCTCAGGAGTAAACCTGTCAGGGCCTGCTGCTCTCCCTCGCTTCAGATTTCCTATGGCTTTTTCAACTTCGTAAAGAGTAAATTTAAGCTAAACTCTTTCAGGGCATTTAAATTAAATTTCTCAGTCGAAATAAATCTGTCTCTATGCACACTACCAATCACGGCTCATTTTCTTATAGTTTTAAAATATATCAGTTTGCAGGCGAATACACGAGAATCTTAGTGGTAAGCGGTGATGTGTGTAGTGTCAATCAGCACACATTTAACAAAATGTTTCACCAATAACGTGTCGGAATATCGCGATACAATAAATTTGTCGAATAACTGAATGGTACTATGATCTTCACAGGAATTGAAGTTCCTGCGTTTGATATCGTCATCGCATCGTGGGTACTTCACTTCTTTAAGAGATTCATACTAGGATATAACTAATCATAAATATGTGATCAATTTAAAATTATTAATTATAAGTGATTGTATCATTTGATTTACCTCTTCTAAATCATTGTTAATAGGATGATAACAGTCACCTTGGTCTATATACGTTCTGTCAACTGGTTGAAACTATTGATGGATAGTACTTGTAATTATGTGTCCTGCTTCTGTCCGGGCACCCGGGCAGTATCACATCCCACACACAAGTCAAGTGACTTGTGTGGCGCATACGTAATCTTTGCTCTCTTGTACCAATATTTATGTTCAAATTAAAAAAATATTTGCGATTATTTTGCTACTTTCTTAGTGAAAATGTCGGCTTCGGAATAGAAAGAAAGAATGGCTAGATCCAACTAGTTAATCATAATCAACTTAGGATCTGGCACATATGTGATTTAGCTCAAGTTTCTGTGCCACATTGGGGCGTTGAGATGAAATTAATAAGATGAATTGGCAAAGGAGTAGAAGAAGGGATGAAAAATTATCTATAAAAGACTACTAGAACTCGATAACTAGGGTGAGACGGAAAAGTGAATGCAACTGCGCCATTGTGATTGATTCAGAGCCATATTACTCGTCTTCAATCATTAATCATGAAAATCCTGTGGATCCCAACCAGGTACTGTGCACTTATCAACATGGCTTAGACCAAAAGTCAATGGTTTTGCAGGATGATTCTAAGTTTTAACTTTTCCTTTCCTAGCTTTACCTCCGTCTATTCAAACACCAGCTAGCATGGTGTGTCAGGATAAGAGGTGGTTAGATATACGCAACAAATATTCTGGCTGTCTCAGTTAATAAATATTCAAAACCACTCCTAGTGATTGAAAACTAAGTTGCGTTCAACATCCACGTCATTCTAGTTTATAACTTATCACCAAGATTTTCAAGTCCTACGAAGATCACAAAACCATTTAGCCATTTTGTTGAAATCCCATGGTTCATATTTTCAACCAAAATCACTTTTTGACTAATTGCAACAGTCGTTCAGAAAGAGATATAACTAATTCACTCCCTGCTTGGCTGAACTTCAATTAGTTTCCCACTAGATCTTTAAAAATCCATCTAAAAACTAGGTGATCGTGAAAACATTATTGCTACTTAGTCGACTGGTTTAATCTATTTTGGCGACATATTATTTTCTCATATCTATGCTTCAATATCACTTATTATGTGTTTCAAATAGCACAAAATACTCATCATGAACCTCATTGTTAGTAAGAACCAAACATATTCAATAAAGATAAGCATCCTCTGTTAGTATTTCTTGATATTTTTCTAGTCTTTATCTGTAAAATGGATTTTCCTATTCGGGATAGCTACATTTCGCGTCAATAATCAATCATTTAGTAGAATACAAAAGCTTATCAGATGTTTGTTTTTTAAGGCATACTTATATTCAATGCAATGTAATTTTGTTCAAATAGGTGTGAACGAAATCGAAATATGTGAAGGACTCTTTATACATGTTTTTTAAGTCCTTAAGATTCTTTCATCTTACTTCGTTTTTTATGTGTACATATTATGTCCCAGATATTGTTCCTGTTGTAATGAGTCTTACCAATATTCACAATTCACCAGAAATACTGGTTATAACATAGACTATATGTTATACAGGATTATAATTATAAAATAGTTTATTATATATTTGATCCATTAAGATAAGTCCATCCATAATCTCTAACAAATCACGACTCTATTTCACCTTAAATATTAGTAACTCACCATATATATGGATTTATGTACTCTATGTCTTAACACAATGCCTCTGTGAGGGCTAGTGAAACTACTCGGCACCCTAACAAATGTTTGTATAGCTTGGTTTGAACTGACAGCCTACTCGTTGAAATGCAGTTACTTTAGGCATTAAGCTCCTGCTGTATTTACATGGTACATTTTTGACTGACAGCTTTATACGTGTACGTAGTTTCTGATTTTCATTTTTATCACAATCATACAGTTTGTTTTTATTGTTCAGTAGCATTAATCTTATTTTTACCAAAATGTGAAATTTTTAGAATTTTTTTCGAAAGAGTGTTCAGAATACTTGACTGTGGCATTTTACCTTCTCAACAATCTATCTGTTTAATCATTTTTACTCAGGTCCGAACATTTACTTATCTGTTAGTCCAACAACAAATAATCCCATACCAATGTTAGCTAATGTTGTTAGACGATCACCATTATCTAGTAAATACTATCCACAACCATTGAATTTATCAACAAATTTGTCATCTAGTCAACAGACGCAACTACAACAGCATCTACCTCATGATGATATTGAATGTACTGCGTTGACATCACCTAATCATTTAAGATATCGTCAAGCTAGATGGGCCAGTGAAATAGCATTGAATAAACGTACTAGTGGATTATTTAATATAGAACCTGGACTAGTCAATTCACTAAGTAAGTGGCGATTTTCAATTTGATGCAAGGGTTTTAGTATGTTTAGAGTTTTTCGGATGTCTTTTGTTTTGCAAAAGTGTTTAAATATAAGTTTTATCACAAAAATAAAGCCGAATTACGCTGCATTTGAAATCAGGTAACAATAGACTTGTACTTTATTCTGATATTTTCGTGTGAAGGGGTTCACAGCAATGTACATTCTGAATTTCATCGAAGAACAAACACAGGTTTGTTCCTCATTTCAAACCACTCAGTAATATAGAACTATTGTGGTGTATACTACTTATGTTGACAGATATAGTAGTATGTAACACCGATCGGTAATTGAATGCGTGCCAGAAGAAAATTGAGAAGATCCAATTAAGTAGAACAGAAAGAGAAGTTGAAAGCAATCGCAATAACAACAGAGTTGATAGACTTATGAAGCATGTAAAGGGCAAATGAAGATGTACAAATAATATATTTGATGTATGATTATCATATTTTACGAAAGGACTCTTTAATTTAGGATTAAACAATAAGTCGGTTATCTACACCTGAGTTCCAATTCACTAAACTATCTTCATACCATATTTATAGTGAATTATTGTGTTAAAATCTCGGAAACTGTGATGAGACAGCTGCTTTCAATAGTTTTTTAATTGATATCTGTATCACTAAAACCATGCAAGTCTTTCCAAAAGAAAGTGATGTGTGTGGGCTGTGATACTGCCCGGGTGCCCAAACCGAAGCAGGTGGTTTTCTTAGGGGGACACACCCGAAGCTTCCGACCTAAAGGCCTACTCCATAAGGCAGTAGAGCGTCGTAAGGAGATGCAGTCCCATGGTAGCCAGTGACCAACGATTGGTTCATACTCCATTCGTGGTTTCAGGATACTGGAGCCCGTGTACACCGTAGGTTTGGATTCAGGGTTTTCCAACTCCCCAAGGTGGACTCTCCGTGTGCACCAACCCGCATTTTCATTTTACTGATTTCCATATGCTACTTAATTAACACTAGACTGATGAATTATCGCTACAGATTTATCTCCATGTTTGTTTGTATTTACATCATAGTCATACATCGTTCATTGTATATTCAGCTCATTAATTTGTTGAAGATTATGGTGATCGATTACGGTTTACGGTCACTTACATATTTAGTAGTTGAATTCATGAATCGACTCATGAATTCAACCATCAAAATTACTACAAGATTCACAAACTCCATTCTGATCATAATTACAACTTTATCAGCATCATTTAGAACACTGTAATCAATAGACAGAAACCCATTGTATATTTATCTTTGTATATTCATAAGGCTAAATTGAAAGAACGACTTTCACATTTTATTTAAAAATAACATTTTTACTGTATACATGTAGATAAAAGAGTGACTGTATATCATACAATCACCTTGACCTAAATTATGTGTCCAACATCCGAAGTTCAAACCATTAGTAATAAATTAGTCAAAAATCATGTAAATCATTCTTCAGTGATGTTTGGGTATAATCGTCCATTACTACATATTGATTAAAGTATAGTAACGTCAATTGTTAATTACGGATCTATCTACTGGCCGTGATGATTTGTTTATTCTCGGTAGAGGTTTATGGTGTGCAGTGTTGTATGATGCCGAACATGAGTGATTAAGACATCTTTTATTCCATATCGTTTTATTATTCAAATCACTATCGAACGAGTTTAAGACATTAACTTAAACCACACTAGAATCACGAACCGACTTAAATTAGACAAATATTGAAAACTTAGAAGCACTGAACAGCCGTTTCTCCAGAGTGGAGGACCCCCCAGCAGTGAGTATCTATGACCCCACAACCGGGAGTCGAGCCCAGAACATTCTGTTCCCGCCCACGAACCCTTAGCCTTTAGACCACTGAGCTGTAATCGAATACTGTACAAGTCTAACTTCGATCAATCCACCATATTGCTCGATCACGTTCCCATACTGACAATCAACTTAAACACTTTATTCTTATAGATCGTCTCACATTTTTCAAGATTCTTGTCATGGACAGTTAATTTACTAATATTTTAATTAATGTTATGAATTGCCTGTCTTCATTTTTAAAAGTAACATCTTTCATAACTACAATATGTAGTTTACATTGCTTATACTACTTATCACATGTCTAGCTTATTTTTGTTTGACTATAAATATCGACTCACGCTTAGTTAAATCGAGTTAGCTCACACGCCTTCGCCACTGCGCATCACTTTGTTTCGCTTCGCTCTCTCCGCTTCGTTTCCCTGATTGTCTGTTCAGACCAACAACTGTAAGAAATATACGTATTCAAACCTCTTTTTCGTATTAGACTTATTTAATTCGGTTATTCACTAATGCGATTTAAGTCGATGATTATATACAAAGATTGACGGCATGCATTTTTCGATAGCAATCATCATATGATATAACTGGAGTCAGATATTGAGCCACCAAAATGATCATCCTGATATGCGAACGTGACGCAATTTTCGATGATACGATCTTACTGGAGTCACATACACATGTGCCACACGAAAAATCTATGTAATTTATTAAATAATTGAATAGAAAAAATTATTCAACTCCATCTAGTTTTAAATTAGATTAGAAAATGTTGCTTATACATGGTCTTTGATACAACACACTAACTTATTTTTCATTTTCCAATCGTTATCTCTGTATGATTTGAACCATTTATTTCATTTTCCTATCAATTTCTACATTAACAAAACAAAGATTGAATAATGTTGGTTTCTTTGATTTAATTGTACGGTGAAAAAATTGATTTCTTTACTTTTGTTCTGTTTAGTGGTTTTATATTTAATATTTTTCTTGCAATTAGTAGTATCCTAGTAGGCAGTAGTATGTTTAATTTCTCCTTTTTATCTTTTTGGTTGGAAAGTATGTAATCTTCCAATACAACGTATATAAAAAGAAGTAAATATGAGTTCAGATAAATGACTGTTATATTAAATTATTCAATATGAGCAGAAGGGGTTTTGTGTAGATTCTAGTAATTTCAATAGTTGAGATCATGAGTCAATTGAAGCTAGACCACCATGGAAAACCTGGAAGCACTGGACGGCCGTTTCGTCCTAGTATGGGACTCTATCCACCATCCCGCCCGCCATGAGATTCGAACCCAGGACCTATCAGTCTCTCGCGCGAGCGCTTAACCATTAGACCACTGAGCCGGCATCCAACTTTTACTCATTGAATTTCACTATAAATTGTGTTTAGTTTCAAATATTCAATTCATAAATTCGAATTATTTTAACTGATATACAATGAATTACCTTAGATATATTTCCAATTATACTGAGGTCATCATCAATAAAGCTTCCATTATTAAACTGGTCTCTTTATCCTAATTAGTGGGACAGGGAGGAAGAGGAGCTGCGAAATATATGAAACGTGTCACTTTTACAAACATTCTAATTACGTAAAGAGGTTCATTTTGTGAATTTATTCTTGTTAAATTTACAAGTGAACAATTTCATGTTGATTAGTCTTCATTTATTTTGGAGTCCACGAATTTTTCCCGAAGCCTAGGAAATTTATTGTCCAATCAGCATTGAATAAAAGCTTTTCAAAAACACGTAGTGAAATTAGAGGTTGCGTATCACGTTTTTGATCAGATTATTGCCCATATTGTATTTATAATGGCCTAGGAGACTAAGGTCAAATCTAACTCGATAAATACACTCGATTTTCTGTACATATCCAACCTTGAAGTGACGCACTTACATTTCACCCCTTGTCTCCATTATTTGAAGTGCAGAATTATGTCTTTATACGGTTTTGTAAAAAGCAAACAACTGACTTTGGTTTATACTGTGAGGGTCTGAACTTAAAACCTTGGGGTTTTCCTTAATTAAACACTTTATCTGTAGTTATTTGCAGTAGGCACTGATCATCCTGAACACAATCATTTAAACTCTATAGTTTTCTGATACCATACTGTAAAACAAAGTGTTTGGACTCATAAATCTTTATTAACACTCTGTTGTACAGTATAAATATCAATAGAGCTGAATGTTTCTTTTTTTACGTACATACTTTTATGGATTTGTCAATGAAATGTTTGAATTTTCATCGGAATATTACCTAGCTTTTATATATATATAATTCCTTATCTTTTGACTATGAAATTTACTTTTTATTAGTTTGACAAAAGTGCTTAAATTAAATCTGCTGAGAAATGGACTCTTAGTGGGATAGTACTAGGGTTACATTAAACTCCTCTATAAATTCTCAGAACCCATTATCAGTAGTAAAAGAAAGAAAATACTATGTAGCACTTATATACCCCTTCAGTTGTCGATATTTCACATAAAGAACAATCAAGGAAAGATTCGTACTAGTCTATGTCACTTATCATTATATTTATTGTATCATTCAATACAGTCATATAGCAGTTGGTCAGTACAGAATCATGTTCATTATAAGAAAATAAACCACTACAGCGAGAAATATCTATAGAATATATATAACGTACATCTGAACTCATATTCATTGTAATTTAACAAATTCGAAGTTTTCTTGTATACAGTGAAATATTAACCGTCGGCGAGATTATGTGAATTTCAGTAGTTCCTCGTAGATATTAAAATAATCTCTCTCTCTCTCTCTCTCTCTCTATATATATATATATATATATATATATATATATATATATATATATATATACTTACTGACGCCTGTTACTCCAATGGAGCATAGGCCGCTGACCAGCATTCTCCAACCCACTCTATCCTGGGCCTTCTTTTCTAGTTCCATCCAATTCTTGTTCATTTTTCTCATGTCTATCTCCATTTCCCGGCGTAATGTGTTCTTTGGTCTTCCTCTTTTCCTTTGACCTTCAGGATTCCATGTGAGGGCTTGTCTTGTGACACAGTTGGGTGCTTTCCTCAATGTGTGTCCTATCCACTTCCAGCGCTTCTTCCTGATTTCTTCCTCCACTGGAATCTGGTTTGTTCTCTCCCACAGTGCGCTGTTGCTAATAGTGTCCGGCCAATGGATCTGAAGTATTTTGCGTAGACAATTGTTAATAAACACCTGTATTTTCTGGATGATGGCTTTTGTAGTTCTCCAGGTTTCTGGCCCATACAGTAGAACTGTCTTGACATTTGTATTGAAAATCCTGACCTTGGTGTTGGTTGACAGTTGCTTTGAGTTCCAGATGTTCCTCAGTTGTAAATATGCTGCTCTTGCTTTGCCGATCCGCGTCTTCACATCTGCATCAGATCCACCCTGTTCATCAATGATGCTGCCCAAATACGTAAGGGTTTTTACATCTTCCAAATCTTCTCCGTCAATTTTGATTGAATTGGTGCATTCTGTGTTGTATCGGAGAATCCTGCTTTTCCCTTTGTGTATATTGAGACCTATTGCTGCTGAGGCTGCTGCCACACTGTTTGTCTTCTCCTGCATCTGTTGTTGCGTTTGGGATAGAAGGGCCAGATCGTCTGCGAAGTCTAGATCATCCAACTGCATCTTAGATGTCCATTGTATCCCGCGCTTTCCTTCGGACGTTGACGTTTTCATGATCCAGTCGATCATCAGGAGAAAGAGAAAGGGTGAGAGTAAGCAACCTTGCCTAACACCGGTCTTCACTTCGAACGACTTTGTCAACTGTCCTCCATGCACGATTTTGCAGTGTAATCCATCATATGAACTCTGTATGATATTGACTATCTTCGGAGGCACGCCGTAGTGTCGAAGAAGTTTCCATAGTGTTGTCCTGTCCACGCTATCAAATGCCTTTTCGTAGTCAATGAAGTTGATGTAGAGTGATGAATTCCATTCAATTGATTGTTCCACAATTATCCGTAGAGTTGCGATTTGGTCTGTACACGATCTATCCTTACGGATTCCTGCCTGTTGGTCACGAAGTTGGGCGTCTACGCAGTCCTTCATCCTGTTTAACAATACCCTGTTGAAGACTTTTCCCGGTATTGAGAGAAGAGTGATGACCCTGTAATTATCACAGTTGCTGAGATCGCCTTTCTTCGGTATTTTGATCAGGAGTCCTTCTTTCCAGTCTGTTGGTACTTGTTCCTCATCCCAAATCTTATTGAAGAGAATGTGGAGTATCCTTGCAGTTGCCGCTACGTCTGCTTTTAGTGCCTCTGCTGGGATGTTGTCCGGTCCTGCTGCTTTGCCACTCTTGATTTGTCTGATGGCCATGCTGATTTCTTCAATTATTGGTGGGCCAACATTGATTGGGAGGTCCGTGGGTGCTGCTTCGATGTTGGGTGGGTTCAGTGGAGCTGGTCGATTCAAGAGTTCTTTGAAGTGTTCTACCCACCTGTTTTGTTGCTCTTCAATGTTGGTGATTACCTTGCCTTCCTTGCTTTTCACTGGTCGTTCTGGTTTGCGGCGATTTCCAGAGAGTTTCTTTGTCGTGTCATACAATTGTCTCATGTTTCCTTCTCTTGCAGCCTTTTCCGCCGTTGTTGCTAAATCTTCCACATATTTACGTTTGTCGGTTCTGATGCTCCTCTTCACTTGTTTGTTTACTTCTGTGTATTCAGCTTGTGCCTTGGCTTTTTCTGCTCTTGTTCGACTGGTATTGATTGCTGCCTTCTTGTTCCTCCTTTCTTGAATCTTATCCAGTGTATCAACAGTGATCCATTCCTTGTGATAGTGCTTCTTGTGACCCAAGACCTCATGACATGTTGAAGTGATTGCCTCTTTGATCCCCTTCCAGTTGCTCTCCACAGTAGTTCCTTCTCCATTGAGTAGATCATGAAAGGCCTGGAACTTGTTGCTTAGGTCTATCTTGAATTTGTTGAGTTTGTTAGTATCCTGGAGAAAGGCCGTATTGAACTTTTGTGATACTGTCTGCCCCGTTGTCCAGTGCTTCTTGAGTTTCAATTTCATCTTGGCGACCAGCGATTGATGATCTGATGCTATATCAGCTCCTCTCTTGGTTCTCACGTCCTCTATAGTCCTCCTGAACGTTTTGTTGATGCAAATATGGTCGATTTGGTTTTGTGTAGAGTGATCCGGTGAAGTCCATGTGGTTTTGTGTATTCGTTTATGTGGGAATATGGTGCCGCCTATGACCAGCTTATTGAAGGCACATAGATTTGCAAATCTCTCACCATTTTCGTTTCTTTCTCCCAGTCCGTGTCGTCCCATGATGTCTTCATATCCAGTGTTGTCCGTTCCAACCTTGGCGTTGAAATCTCCCATCAGAATGGTCAGGTCCTTTGTTGGGCACTTCTCGACTATTGACTGCAGCCTATTGTAGAATTGGTCTTTAGCGTCTTCATTGTAGTCGTTGGTAGGCGCATAGCATTGGATGATGTTCATTGAAATGCCCTCTTTCTTTGTTTTGAAGGAGGCTTTGATGATCCTTGGTCCATGAGATTCCCATCCTATAAGCGCATTTTGCGCTTGTTTGGACAGCATCAATGCAACTCCTTGTGTATGTGGTGCATTTTCTTCTTCATGGCCGGAGTATAACAGGAGCTTTCCTGTAGTTAGTCGTTGTTGTCCAACTTGTGTCCAATGTGTTTCACTGATCCCAAGTACCTCTAGGTTGTATCTTCTCATTTCTGCAGCAATCTGGAAGACTCTTCCGGTGTCCCACATTGTACGAACATTCCATGTATCTAAATAAATGGTCGCTCTGGTTGTCAGAAGGGGCATCGGCCTCGTAACTTCCGAAGGGATTCGGCTTTCATCATGAGGCGTCATAATTCTTCTAAGTGAAGATCTTCTGACTCCCAGGGCAGAGTTTAAAAGGTTTGAATAATTTTTTCTGGTTAGCGTTTTTTTAGCGAGTTAGTTTTCTACGGGATGGGGACGCTACCCCCATGCCCAACCCTCCTCCTTTATCCGGGCTTGGGACCGGCAGTAGCCCCCGGAGGGACTACAGGCGGAGTCCTCTCTCTCTCTCTCTCTCTCTCTCTATATATATATATATATATATATATATATATATATATATATGCATTGGTCAATCAATTATATTTTACTCTTCTGTATTTTATTCATTCTCTTTCCTTCTTTTCAAAATTTATTTGTCATTGTGTTGTTTTTTGCTCACTTGATTAAAACCAAGCAAAAATCTCATTAATAATGGTCATTTTCATTTATTGAAAAAAAAGGACTGATTCTTTTGTTTAAAATTTAACTAAGAAATCTATCAGATTGAAATGATAAATATGCTCTTTGTTATATTACTGTTTTATCCACTTTTGTTTAAATTACCGTTTTAAATGATCATAGTCCAGTGTTAAGACTAAATGTCATTAAAACAAATTATTTTCATTTATTGATTTGCATGTTGTTTGTATTTTGGATAGTCACTGTTAGTGGAATCTAGACCTTTTAAGATTAAGAGTGAATGCATTTGCTACGTTGTAACAGATTATGAGTCATATCATCTCTAACCGTTGATCAAGATAATCGGATGCACCCTAACCCAGTCTAAGTTCATGAGTTAATGACTTCATATATATATCTCAAGTTTTGCTTTGACTGCCCTTCGCTTTTTTCCATACTTCTACATCACCTAAAACTGTTCATTGAGGTAGGCTGTGGCTGGGTATACATAATAATCCATGTCTCAGTTACCTCATTTCATAAAGATTCGCTACTTTATCTACCGATTTACCATCCTTTTTAGTACCCCTGGTCACTCGATGGCGCCATACATATAAAAACAATGCATCAAAAGGATCTATGTTTAAATAGTAGTAGACTACAAATGCCCTCTATTTTTAAGAATCCCGCCTCACAGCTATAAACTAGAGCAAAAGACATTGCTACTCAATATGTTCATCCTTTAATTTTTAGATGAATATCCCATCTATGCCACAAGTGATACAAGATTCAAGAGGTTTTTCAGAGATCTCGTCAGACACTAACCTATCAGGACTGATAAAACTTTTAAGATAGGCGCCCAAATGCATTGATATAGATCAGTCTTAAAACTGCCTTTTTAAATTGAAAAGGAAAGGAATGAACTACACACAGTCGCCTTCAGCTTGTAATTTTAGACTATAGTGTCAAATCCATCTAAGGAACCTACGTGACAGCAACAATTGATCAAATACAATCTTGAATATCAGCGAAATAATACGCACCCTATAATAAAATAATAAATACATTATGTTACATGTTTAAACTCTAACCTATAACTTCGATTTTCTTTTTAATTTCAACTGGCGGTTTTCATTTGGTCAAACTATAATCAAGTAATGTGTACCTAGAAATTATTTTTTATGATTGAAAACCTTGGAAAAAAACATTTAAAATTTGGAAATATATCTAGAGTGAAAATGTTGCCATATGAATTCATTTGTGATTTCTTCTGCAGTCGTGATTTGTTGGTGAAATAAACAAATCTAATAACTGTTGATGATCAATAGACACTGAAGATTGTTTTTTTATTTATGTGGTCAAGTGCAAGGTGTTTTTCTTACGTTTGTAGAAAAAAATCCTATTATTTAGGTCAACGTGAATGTGTAGATCATATAACCAATCTTTTAGTTGTAAATTGTAGAATTTTTGGCGAGACTTTAATTTGTTGACGATCTTTGAGCGATGCTAAAGTGACCATGAGAATGTCCACCGACTAACCAGGACTAAATTAAGGTTATAATCCGTTGTCAGGAATCAGAATTATGATTTACAGTTGAGGGTTAGGTTTATGAATTAGATTTAGGGTTTTCGTCACGAACTGATACCAGCTATAATCCCAAAACGCTATTTAGCAAAATGTATAAATGAATTTCGCGCCAAAATCTAAGACTTGTTATTTTATGTCTGATTGGTTCGTCCAAGAAGGGCTAAACGCCTTGTGTAACACACTTAGGAAGAACGGATGCCCCAAATGTATAATCACGAAGGTTAGAATAGGAGAATTACAAACAGTGAAAAAGAAATCCATGTTCATGCGCCTACAATTCAGAGTGGTTACTGCTAGCAAAATATTAATTCAGGGATTACACAACAATCCATATATCATTCGACGCCGGAGAACTATGATTAATGTTTTCTACGCACCCATTGATGACACCAAAGCTAAAAGATGAATTATCTAGAATGACCACCTCATTTTACACTTATCAGTCCGACTGCTCTTGCGGAGCAGGTTATATTGATCAAACTTCCAGGAATTTACATTTTCGTCTCCGTGAACACCTCCTAGCGTGGCTAAGCAAAGGTCTAGTGGCAGTGTCTGTCATTGAAAGGCGTACCTCAGAAGTACATAAACCTTGTGAAGGCTCTTTACTCGAACACTACTAGTCGAGTCAGGGCTTATGGCGAACTGTCATCTACTTTTGCAACCTCAAGTGGTGTCCGTCAAGGCTGTCCACTTTCTCCATTTCTGTTTAACTTCATCATAGACCTATTGATGGAAATAACACTCTCGTCGACTGAATTCTCGGGTATTGATCTCCTTCCAGGAGGTCCACTTATCGACTTAGAATACGCAGATGACATAGTCCTGTTTGGTGAAGACGCTGACAAAATGCAGAGTCTTCTGGCAGCACTAAGCAACAATGCCAGGATGTTTGGGATGCGCTTCTCTCCCTCTAAATGCAAGTTGTTGCTTCAGGACTGGTCTGGGTCAACACCTGAACTAAGGATAGGGAGTGAAGTAGTTGAACGCGTTGACAACTTCACTTATCTTGGAAGTCTGATTAGCCCTAATGGGTTGGTGTCTGACGAGATCTCAGCACGGATTCGAAAAGCTCGTTTGGCTTTTGCCAACTTACGTCATCTTTGGCGAGGTTAGACGCAGGGTATTAGGGAATGATGGTAAATCAGTTGAAGAGGTTATGAATCTTCATCGACTGAGATGGTTGGGCCACGTATTACGTATGCCTGAACACCGATTACCACGACATGCAATGCTAACCGGGGTAGGGGATGGTTGGAAGAAAGTTAGGGGCGGCCAAACCAAAACGTGGCATCAGTGCATGAAGTCACTAACTTCTAGTCTGAGCCATGTTGGTAGATGCAGACTACTTGGTTGGGGTCCGCGTGACTTTCGTAACCAATGGTTGGAGACTCTTGGTGACATGGCTCAGAATGGATCACAATGGCGTCGGTGTATACACTCCCTGTCTTCTTTTAAACTAAGAGACTAAAATCACTTCATTCTTTCTGTCTACGAACTAATTCTTTCTTCCTATACTATATCCTTATTGCAACCTTTGACCTAACCACTGCTATGAATCCGGTGTTCATCTTGCTGTGCTGATGCGGTATGGCAACCTGGACCGATGCACATATGTGCCTGGTCCTACGTTGTAGCTGACTGACTGTTAAAGTTCAATAAATGTTTGGTACTTATGGTCCTCAGTTTGAAGTATTTGATTTATTCAGTTGCTCCGCCTGATTTCCTCTGATCATTTAACATTAGAATAAAATGTACTATCTAAAACTAGTGTTCTTCTCTGACTACATCTTGAAAACACAGAATCTTATTGTTACATACCCTGGTGACTGCCAACTTATTCGGTCAGCACCTTTTTCTGTACTGAGTTCAACAAGAAGCTTCGGTAAGAAAATAGGATCATTAAGCTTTCAAAAATAATCAGCCGTACTATGAAATATTCTGCTGAGGACTGCTCTCTATATCTTCTTTGAAGTAGAATTATTGTGGTATTTTTACCTGTAATACACATCTTTAATCTCAACAACTCAATTCTTGTTCATCTGGTTAGAAAAACATCCGTTTGATCAGTGATAGTTTAAATAACTAAATTAGGAAGTGCCATATTTAATTTATGATAATAGACTCTAAATTGTATAGCTACTAGTCTCATCTACATAATTTATTTATTTTAACACATAGATATTGGTACAAGGAGGCACCAAACAGATATGCACCACACAAATCTCATTCGATGTGTGAGGGCTGTAATACTGTACGGGTGCCCAAACCGAAGCAGGTGATTTTCTTAGGGGGCCACTCCCCTAGCCTTCGACCTGAAGGTCTGATCCACAAGGCAGTGGAGCATCGTAAAGAGATGCAGTCCCATGGAATCCGGTTAAAGCGTCGAACATTCGCTTTTCGTCCTCTCATTTTCTTAAACAACACCCCCGCCACGAGAAGGCAGTGAGTAGGACTTCCCTGGAAGAGGCTATATACGCGTGGCCATGTGAGAGCATTTCGAGAGGGAGAGTGGACTCTCCCCACTGTTGGCCGTACCAGGGCGTTTGTAGGCACATCTACATAATAAAGTATGTTGTACTAAGTGGCATAAGATAAAGTTTTAAGGATCTGGAAGAGTTGATGGAAATGTGAAAATCTGGTTGATACTTTTAATGGTGTTCCGTTCTCTAGGCTAAATAGTTTAATCGTGAACGTGTAATTATCAGTCTGAACAATATTATTGGAAAGATTAGTTCGAAAATAAGTAAGTGTTTTAATATTATTATTACAAACAATCTAATCAGATCATTTCACTTTTTTTTCTCACTCTATTGACTTTTTTATATTATATTTAAGGTTTCCTTGGAACTATGCTAAATACTGCTGCACCGCGTGACGGTTATACGACTTATAATGAAGCGATTGCTTCAGTTTACTCTTATCCTTGGTTTCATTTCATTTATGCCTTGGCCACTTTATATTTAATGACTCAATTAACTAATTGGTACAAGTAAGTTTACCCTTTTATTCATTATTTTACGTTTGCGTTTTGATAAATGAGAGTGTGACTGTTTAAACCTGTACTAGTAACATGGCTCAACCTATTTTAATTCACCGAGGATAATTAGGATTTTATTAATCAAATTTCATGTTGTGTTTTAGTATTCAGATGTTAGACATTAAAAACACGAAGTTCAGCTAAGGGATCTCTTTACAACGGGTTTATTATCAAACTGAGGACATATGAGGAATGAATTAACACGATGATATGATAGAAAGGCTATAATTCTAGATTGTATAGTGTAGATAATAACAATAAAAGATCGTGTATGTAGAAATTAAAAGCCTTGTAAAAGTAATAAGTTGACAATGGATTATTATGTGAATGGAATAAAGTAATTAAATTGTTTTTGTTGCAATAATTAAAGGTAATAGAAGATTTAAAGGAACTGAAGTGATATCAAAAACAGTTATGAATAAAATCATGGTGATATTTTCAAATGCGAAATAAAACAGTGACAATAATCTTAGTTTAAGACAATAGTAAAGATAAGGATAAGAAGTATTCCATTTTTACACACAGTTCTGGCTTCATTTCATGAATGGCAATTACTGTGGATGGTTTAAGAAGATGAGTACAAAGAAATCTAGGGAGATTTGGACGAATTGTATAAACAACTTTAAAATCAATCTATGAATCAGTTGAGTGGTTGGCATCCATTGAATCTTCAGGACTGAAACTTCTAACTGCTTTCCTCTTATCCTTGTAAAACCATACTGGAACATGCCCTCGTATCCGAGTTGTAAGCAGGCTCTGGCTACAACCTATATACGTCACGCCATAAGAGCAGGTGAACTGGTCGATGCACATAGGGGCGGCCAAAAGAGAAAGCTTATCCTTTGGGGAGATGGAAATCCAGTTTATACTTCTCTATGAAGCTGCTTGGATAACCGTTCGCAGATATTATGCATTTAATATTAAAAGTCGTGTTGAAAGATTTCAACTTAAAATCAGGCTAATCATGAACAATTAACGTAGATTTCCTGAATTCGACAGATCTTATGAAATACTGGAATGATATTTGTCGATGTCTAAAGCAATTAAAACTACGGAAAACTGAGCAAGCTGTTAATCGAAAAATCAATTTAAAATCAAGTTAGGATGTAAGATTCTGAAACAAGTTGAGATTTTTACTGACAAATTACGGAAAATTTAAGTACAATAATTACATACTATCTTCTATTAATTACTCATGATTACATGACTCCAAAATATTTTATAAATACTATGCCAATACTACTCATCTTTATTGAAAAACTAAATGAGATTACGTCTACTTAATTCCGTAAATTGGATTCAAATTTACTGTTTATCTCAAGTTATAATGTTCTACTGACGCCAATTAGAACGGTGATTTAATTGATTAAAGCGCTAGAGTTTTGATGTATTTGCTTAAATCGTGCTCCGTTTGTTTTTAGGCAACCGTATAGCATCTTTCACTTACAATCGATTGATTGATGATTGAATAGTGAACAATATTGTGTTTATCTAATCCTTTAGTCCTAATTAAATTCTACCAATCAATTTGTAATCTGATCACTAGTCTAAGTGAGATTTTATGTAGGTGGAGGTAGTCGGCAGTAAACCTTTCTTGGCCTAAGTTTTGTACTAGCTAGCACTCACCTTCAGTCTTGGGAGTACTGATGGTTCCTGTGGGATTCGAACCCGTATCACTAAGCCTCACTGTTTGTAAAGTTATCGCTGAGCTATTTGGGTTCCCAGTGATGATTTTAAAACTGTAGAAAGTAGAGCCAATCATAATGTTGTTTACAGTGTTATTTTTTTATATTTTATGTTTCTAAAAACAATTAGTCCACAAATTTCACGTGTCGATACTTTATCAGAATCATGGGCAAATATGTGGATGAAACTGGCATCTAGTTGGTTAGCTTTAATATTGTATGCATGGACTATAGCTTGTCCACGACTGTGTATTGGTCGAAAACTTGGTGCAGTTCCGTTTACACCGCGTACACCACGTGCTAAAGTCTCACAAACTATGCCAATTGTTTAGTATGTTTGTGTGGGAGAGAGAAAGAGTTTGGAAGCTGACCTATCCAATTTTTGTGTAGAGATTATTCTTCTCTAAACAAAAGATTGTCTTCTGTGATATTTTTGGTGTTTTTTCTACCAATATATGTCATGAAGTGAATACAATGAAAAGACAAAATTAACATTTACCTTTACAAGTATTATGACATCATATATAAATCTCAAAGATCGCATTTTTCACAAAATATTGCATAAGTTCTTTATGCGTTTCCATTGAGAAAGATCCTTCTGTCAACAATATATATAGAACGACATGAAACTCATATTTAAAAGTTTATTGATGGAATAATGTACCCTTTGCTTTGTTTATATTTAACTGTGTTTTAAAAAAGTTCACTTCACTTTGACGAATTATAAATAATAATAAAATCCAAACTATAATTGTTTGAATCTTTTAATGCAAATAATATAAAGAACAGATCTAATTTCAATCTTTTGTAAGACATTTTCATTAAATAAAAGTGGACGAACGTGATTACAGTAGGGTTAATTATGATGTCCGATTCATCAGAATAATCCTCCCCGAAGTTCATTAAATTCAAAAGACTGTCTTGACTTACAATAATTATATATGCCGTATTTGTTGTTGGTCAATAGGTTACTGGTCAGATAGACGTAAATTGAATTCGTAATTAGTAAACTCTATCATCACATGGGCAATATAAAGAAGTTCTCATTCATAATAAGATGTATTTACACTTTGATGACGACATTAACTAAAATATACATTAGGTTTGTAGGTATCAATGTCAAGGTTGGACTTGGTAGTTTCAAATAAACTGAGCATTGGGTAGAAAGTCAAAATTGTATTTCTGACTTAATGTAAGCCACTTCTTCAGAGTAAATAAATTAACACACGTTTAAATAGGTATCATTACCAAGGTTTGATTTGATAATTTCGGATAAATTGAGCATTGGGTAGATTGTTATAAATTAATATATTTGTACTATCCCAATGTGTAGAAAAATGAGATTTTCTGACGTTTCGTGACTTAGTGTAAGCCACTTCTTCAGAGAATAAATAAACAAATGAAAATTAATCCAAGTCTAAATAGTACAACGGAACAATAAGAATATTATGTGATCGATCAAAAAGCAGGTCTGAATAAATCAATGTCATACTATTTAAACTTGGATTAGTTTTAATTTGATTATTTATTCCCCGAAGAAGTGGCTTACGTTAAGTCATCAAACGTCAGCAAATCTAATCTTTTTACTCATTGAGATATTACAAATATATTATTTATTTACACGTTTAAATAGTTCAAAGGAAACAGTGAAGAATGTTTTTAGTACAATCGAAATCATAATATATCAAGTTATTTATGGTCAAGGTGAATTTGTGCGACCTGTCACTGTATTAATTTGTGTGTGAGAATGTGGGTATGAAAAATGTATGCATTTGTAATATGAAGTAGTAGGATTGAAATTGTGTGTTTGTATGTGTGAGTGTGTAGATTGTGTGGAAAATAAATAAGGTCAAATGTGGTTGTTTGGATAAACAGTTCAGATTGGATGAATATTCAGGCCCTCTTTCCGAATTGAGGGCTGGGGGATTTAGCATAATGTAAAACGTTTCGGCTATTCGCCTCTTCTTGTAGTTTGAAAAACCCTTCTGAATTAATTTTATATTTTTAATATCACTTTGGTAATTACTAAAATAAGCATGGACTGCTATTACTGATTGGACCTGTAAATTTTCCGATTCTACAGAATTATTAAGTCTTTTTGTGTAACTTAAGTGTTCCTTGTTACGAGTCGAGATCTCACGGGAAGACTCTCCACTATAGAACGCATCACAATAGACACAGCCTACTCTGTAGACGCAATTTTGTGTAGAGGTGAACAGGATCTTATCTGTTATTCTACCTAAAGCGTTTTTTACAGTGTTAGTTGTCTTACAGAAAGCTTTAATTATGTACGTTTTCAATATCCATTATAATTCTTCTTTCATACATTGTTGGCAAGATAAATCCACGGTACCAATCCAAGAACTTTCATTATTATTATTAATGGCTTTATTCAATATTATATTTTCGGTACAATATAGAATTCTCAGCACAAAGTATCTCAACAAATTTCTTTTCCTTATTTCTTAATCCGTCCTGATGACAAATTTTTAGTGATTTTAGAAGTTCAGGAATCGAAATCTGAATAATGTATATTCTTTTCTATGTAATATTGTCAGCAACCACGATGTCTCTTATTGTACTTTTCTGTAACTTGTGCAGCGAAAGGTCGCAAACATTTCATAGATAGCAGAAACAAGTAGCCCAGATATTTAAGCAGGATTGTCATTTACGGAATGACAGTTTTCTTTTATTATGTTTTTAATAATCTTTTTAGGAAAATTATTAAATTGTAGGATGTTTATTATATCTTCTATTTCTTTTAGCTTACATTTAAGTTTATGTTGAGGGACTACCACTTTGTGCCCTAAAGTCTAGTTGTACATTGAGTACAAACTTGTAGCAGTATGTACTCAAAAGGTTCTCGTTAATGAAATGTAAATACTTATTTATTTTAATGCTGAAATAAATTATGTACTTTGCATCACTTATCAGACATCTGACAACTATCTGTACAGATTATAATGTTAAGATCTATTTAGTTGTCTCTCTATAGGAATATTTGAATTCAACTATCATAAACAATTAAGCTAACCATTTACACATTAAGAAGAATAGTTGTCTGTAATAAATACAAGGTGTATATTTACTAGTTATAAGTAGCATTTTATCTAAGAAGATGTTTAACAATAATTAACTATAGATTGTCATTTTGAATAATATGATATGGTGTGTGTCAATAAAAACTGCTTACTGACAAAAGATTGTTATGGCAAGAATATCTAGCCTACTTATCAGTAATATAAACAGTTCGGTATAGATTTTTACGGATAATATTTTCAGCGCGAGTTTTTTTCAAAATAAAGTAGTTTAAATAGGTGACTCACATTATATCTGTGAGTAAAACTAATGGTTATCTCTGAAAAATATCGTAAACATGCTTTTTAAGGAAATATATTAAACCAGACATGGAGAGTTGAATAAACATAGTGAAAAAATCTTAGTTTGGGATTCCAAGTTTTTAGAACCACATAGTTTCAGTCATAATATCCCCAGGGCTGAATAATAAGTAACTGATCGTTAAAGGTCACAGGGCGAAAATGAACGAACACATGAAATCATATGCAAATAGCTGGAATCCAGATAGACTGAAGTGCCGACACTGAAAGTTAGTATACCACTGAAACCAGTTTCAAATATAAGTAAATATTTGTGCCCAATCTGAATAAAAAAATTTTTTTATAGCCTGAACTGTATTGCTTCATTTATCAAGTTGGTTCATGACGAAGATAAAAAGGAAATAAGTGCTACGATAACTTGACATCCCATAGTTATTCGCGAACTCTCTACTGGTAGAAACGAGTGTTTCAACATTATAAATCACCAAGAAGGTAGCTAAATATCGGTCCGCCGTTAATTGACTCTAATGAACCAGTTTTTACGTTCCACAAAATGCTCAGTACGTATCCAATAAGCATATTGATCAATAGGGGTTTTTCAATTGATCACCTAGTTATAGATACAGTTGAACTGTTTGACAGGGAACTAGTTCTTATAATTATAAGAGTATACTAACGTAGTATAAAGCAGTCAGTAATGTAGTGAATTTTCTATGTATAATAATTTCTTATATGATATTTCTAAGTGTCTATCTTCAACTCATGATCAACCGCAGCTTAAGTTGACCTGGATACGCCGCATACTGATATAGTAACAATATGTTCTTCATACAAATATACTATTACTGGACATTTTGGGATAAACTAATAAAATAGGAAGATAGTTACATCCACTGTTTGTATTAAACTTTCATTTTGTATAATTAGGTTTCGGATATCACGGAAAATATAAATGTAACATTATTTAGGACTGTCAATTTAATCCTCTTACACTATGTAACCGTACTGGTTGATGATAAGTGTACTTTTACCAATGAATATAATGATAAACCTAATGAAATGTATGGAGCCAAAATAATTTTGTCTCTCGGAACTAAAGGGATTTGAGTGCTTTGAAATACGTGTTTAGGTTACGGAATGGGTTTATGACTTCCTCCGCAACAGAAGAGGCAAGGGAATAGCCAGCGGTTTAGCACATTTATTAAACTGATGAGAAGCGAAATACTTTTAAAAAAATTCAGTCTTTTTGTGCGTGTTCATACATGTGTATGAGAAAACCTTTCTATGTACATGTTACGTTGCATAAATATTTTGTTTCTCCTTGGATGTTGAGTCTTCCCTCTCGTCCATATATTTTTTGTATATTATATTTAATGTTTGATCAACTATAATGTTAGAGCTGATATTTACTTAAAAATGTGTTTTTGGCATTTTATTCATTTTATTTTGATATTCCCTGGTGAGTAGCGATTATTTTACTTTGCCTCTGACTATGATGGGTATCATATTGATTGATTATTTCATGGGTTGGCTGTATCATATTTCTAAAAATATCAATTGATTATACATTCCAGTTCATCAAACTGTTCGGGTACATTGGATAATTTGCACTATTGCAACTATTTCATATACATGCACGTTTTATCGAACCACTGTGTTTTTGACATATTAATCGGTGTGCATCATTGATTAGAAAATTAATCTTAGGGTTCCGGACCTCGAGCATCACAGGTCTTTACGCAAGTCACCTAATGATTTCGAATGTTGTATCTTATACTTAAGAGATTTTAAAACTTGAAGGTATGCCTCAGATTTTATGCCCAAAACTGACTTTGTAGGCAGGATTTGTGAAGTGAGTTCATATGGGTGTTGCACGGCTTGCTGCAAGAAGTTTGGCTGATAACTCACATGAGGGAACCTTTTTCGAATTTATTTACGAAATCGTTTTGAAGGTAGGAAATTCCAATTACCGTCAATTCCATAAATGATCGAACTGAGACTGTTGTTTCTGTTTTCTTTGTGTGTATTCATGTTTTATTCAAATTCACTAACATCATTTATTTCTTCTGATTATCTCTCTGCCTTAACGGATGTGTGAACTGTATCTAGAATACTTCTTGAATGTTATTTATTTAATTCAGTTTTCTATTAATGCCAATTAATTAAATGAATATATATGAATTTAAGTGGGATGTATATTTCATCATCTACGTTATCATCATATCATAAGGGAGTCAGAAACTAGACACTAAAACCCTCGTGAAGTAAGCTTAAGGCAATAATAAACCGAACCAGGAAACTAAAACACGATAAGAAGAATATATTTAGTCAATCTAAGTGAATGTCACACACGAAATGATGATTTATTGCACTAATCATTTTGCAAATTAGACCAAAGTGCTTATAAACAA